GCTAGAACCTCGAAAAAGGCTCTAGATATCTGGTTGATCCTTGTAGAAATTCAGAAAGAGTCTTTGCACCTACAAAAACAAATTTCAAAGTTCAACTACAAAAAGCGCCCGAAATCCTCTCTTTTTCCCGTTTCCCAATCAAATTCTCTTGCTTTTTGTCTCAAATTTGTCAAGCCGAAAAAAGCTGACTCGGTCGCAAATTTGGAAGCGAGAGGACACTGAAAAATTGCGCGCTATGGATGCGGCAAAAATTTAATTTGCCTTTCTCTTCTTTTGTTTTCGTGCCAATGGATTTGTTCCTTCTTGTTTTGTTTTCGGTCGTTCCGGGGGCTTGAGGCCGTCGGGGAACTGAAACTGAGATGAAAATAAAATGTTTGATTGGTATTTCTTTAAGCATCATGGTTCAGAACTGGCAGGGAAGCGATACTTCAGAGGCTCAAATTTTTGATGTTGATCCAGTTTTGTCAAGGTCAATATTGTGTACAAAAAATATATGCAATTTTGTTATGTTTTGTCTAGTGGAGAGGATCAAGTACCACCTCTACGCGGTGATGGGGAGGCAACGCCGTTTATGGCGGCTAACGGTATACCGGTCACACAGTTCGGCTTGATTCCGCTAACAGAATGGGCGGTCTTTTTTTTAGCCCTGGAAAGGCAAAAAGGATAATCAGACCACAATTATGCTATAACACGCTCAACACCATGAATGAAACTTTTTCGCGAGAGTAACAGTCAACCAGGACAACACTGGATGACCGATTGCATAAGACCTCCTGGAAAACGTGTGGTTCACGCTTCGATCAATAAAAGGTCGAAAGCGAAGATGGACCATCTAAGTATCTAAGTTGAGAGGTTGTGAACTCATGAGATTAGACTAGACAGTATGTAGAAGAAAGGAATGGATGATTTACTTCTTCTGCTTCCTACGCCTTTGTACCGCTTGAGCGGCGTCGGCGCCCCATGTAGATTAGCCGAGGTTCTATCCTAATAATCAGTGGACTGGCTCTAGAGACCTATCCGTCCTTGTGTGTGACGACTGGGGATTATGAAGCCGTGGTTTCCCACTAACAACATTTCTAAAGCCCCTTGGTGGCGAGGATCGAACTTGTGACCCTGTGGACCGTAGACATGCACACAACCTGTTGTGCTACAGCGCGCCGATGGATGATTTACAATTGTCAGGAAGTACAATAAAACGAAGCAAGGCAATCGTATTCTGGATCAGGATCGTCTGAAGACTTTGAGCTTCAAATGAGTAGTAGTCACGCAAAAATTGTCTTCCGACGCCATGATTTTCAGAAAAAGTGAGTAATCCTACGATAAATTTTCCGGAACAGTCGTCCAAACTAAAAACGTGGCAAAAGTCATCAGAGAGCAGGTGAGAGCAATAGGTTGAAGATTGATGGGGATAAGAAGCGAGGAAAAGGGATCGAGAATCGTCTGCGCCTTGAGGGCATTACACACGGGGAAAAACTCCGGCAAGGTGCAAATGACAACACCCGCGAGACGCCCGCACGTTTCGCCTTGCTCTGAGGAGTCGCGTCAAAACATCCAACGTTCAGATGTACTTCTTCCCGGATGGGTACTTGAAAAACAGAACAATTGGCTGCTTTAACTAGCTTACACCCTTTGTTCCGTGCAGTTGGAGTATTTTCAATGAGGTCTTTTGCAAGAGGGGGGTTTTTAAATCAGGAAGAAGGCTGGGAGGTTTCTAGAAGTCGGCCAGTATATCAGATAAAGCTCCTAAAGGTCAACCTTAACAATTTTTTTTCGGGCAAAGATAACTTCAAGGCAAAGAAAACCCTTAAAATCGGTTAAAATGAGCCATTTTTGGGTTTTCCCTTTTTTTTTCAAAAACTAGGAAACTATTCAGGCTGAAAATTTCAAGATTTTTATCTGCTATATCAAGGAGTAGTCTGACCAACTTTTGGGAATTCTCAACCACAAAGTGAAATTACCTTCCTTGTGAGATCAAAAAAGTTCATGAAAATATAAATCTGTGTTTTTTATTTGAAGTCTGATTGGCATTACGAACGAGCTTATCAAAAAAAATTTATTCTCAAAAAGCTTTGAAAGACAGGAAATCTCTAATTCCCCACTGAAAAAGGTTCTACGAAAACATGTAGGTTCAATGTCCTCATTAAGAGGTCTGGAAATAGACGTTTGAGGTCAGATTTCAGAATAGGAGACAGTTATTTTGGGACTTCCTTTTTTTCCTAGGTCACTTGGAACATTTAGAAATATCAGATCAAGTTCGGTAGGAATATAAATATAATTATGGAACCGTTTATTTTGAGCTTTGAAGTCGATATTTCCGATAAACTCGAATGAGAGAATTTGAAAATTTACATTTTTTTTTTTGCTTTTTAAGGCGTAGGGCACTCGATTTCTCTACTGCAGGAAAGATTCCATTATACAATTCGAGTAGGATGCATTTTTTTCTCTACAGGTTTCATTAAAACGATTCAAAGGAAAAAAAAAACTGAAAGAACTTTATTTTCACGACCTTATTTTTCTAGCTTTGAATGGAGACAGAGAGCAGCTGTAATTAGCCGAAAATCAAAGCTCTAATATAAAAAAAGTACAAAAATAAGTTCAAAAAAAGGTCATTGCTATTGGTAGTGCGCTTCTTCTTTGAAAAATAATGGGCCATGGAAAATTGAATCTTTTTTTGAGGGGATATTTCAAAGGAACGTCAAAAAAATTAGCCAATGACTCAGAAACCTGACCCCATTCTGGTGAAACTCGATTTTAAGGTCTTCTAAAGAAGGATTTTCGTAGAAGTCGCGGAAAAATCAATTTTTAGATATTTTTAGGTGAAATTACCTTAATGATTTGAATGAGAAATAAGGAAATTGAAGATGATTCTTTCGAGAAGAGAAATATGTCCGGTAATTGCTTGGAAAGGTGAAACCGGCCGTGTTTTCGAGGCAATTTCCAGCCGATCGCCAAGGTCGATCGAATTTGAATTGAAAAATTCTTTGATGGGGGGATCAAGGTTAAGGGTTAGCGGTGGGCAGTGATGGAATTTCGGAAGGATCCGGAAGGATTGAGGGATTTTAGAAACGGATCTAGTAGTAAGATAAAATCTTTGAGAAATATTTTTTGCATTTTCAGGTAATTTTCAGTGGGCATTATTGGTTGAAAACTGGTTTATTGGACGTTCAAAAACAGAGATACAAAAAAATATTTAAAAATAAAATTGTAAAGATTTTTGAAATTTCCCTGGCCCTCTAATTATTGCTTCAAACCGTACGATAAAGCTTAGAGCTGGAAATTTTTCAAAAAAATCGCTCATAAAAAAATTCTCTGGTCTTTTATTGTTGGCTCAAACGAGATCGTGCGGACTGTAGCCCGATTTTTTTCCAAGAGTTAAATACTTTTTGAAATGTTTTTTTGAATAAATAAAATACTATAAACATTCAATTTGTTATGGAAAGAAAAAAACCAAATAAAAAAAGTAGGATAAACGGGCGCCAAATCGAACGCATTCAAGCGGCAAAGGCCCCATTTTTCTTTGTTGTTCTCAAGGTTGCGAAAGAAATTTATGTTTCTTTCTTTTTTCTTTGAGGCTGACTCAGTTGGTGGTCGTTTGAATATGGAGAAAAAGATGTTTGAACTTCACCAAAAAAATTGATAGATCAAAGTTATGACCCTTCGAAGAAACAACTGTGCGGACCTTGAAAATCTCGATTTGATCTTCCAAAAAAAAAAAATGAAGTTTCAAATCAGAGATGAGGGAATTTAAATACTGAATCTTTATTCGCCTTATTTGGTCATTTTTGAAAAAATAATTGATTCAAAGTCCCTGAAATTCAAATATTTTAGTTAGAAAACTACAACTCTTTTGTCTTTATTTTTTCCATTTTATAACTTTTCAAGCCTGAAAAGTTGAGAACAGTAGTGCAAAGAAACACATGAAAATTCTTTCGCAAGGTTATTTTATTTTCTATTTCCAAAGTTACCTTGAAAATACCTGAATAGGGTCAAGAGAGGTAGCTGACTCATTCACGATTCCTTTTCTTATATGACTCATGGAGGTTTCAAAACTTGAGAAATTCAGGAACTTCAACTGGTGAAAAGGAGAAAAAGGGCTCAGTTTTGTGGGATTCATGGTTTTGAATGAGAGAAGAAAATCGTAAATTGATTATTAAAATGGAAATTAATGAAAACTTAATGAAACTATTGAAATTTTCAATTTTTCGGGACAAAGAAGAAGATTTTTTTTTTTCAAAAAATATTTTAACGGCATGAAATTTTAAGTTCAAAGAAAGTTGATTTTTACTGGACCCTGTTTGTAGCTTCCACGTCTGAAAACGGAATTTAAAAAGACTTTTCATACAAGAAAGCCTTTTTTTTGAATTCCGATAGAGAATATTCGGAATATGAGAAGATTGTACGATTCTCTAGTAGGAAACAAAGGGAAAAGGCCTTTAGGAGTAAAAACGAGCCGCAACACATCCGCATCGCCGTGGTAACGATGACGGCTCGCGGCCAAATGATGTCCAACTTTTCGACTTTTTATTTATTTATCGGCTGGCCTTCTTTTATTGGCATTGATATCTAGGAAGACTTTTGCGTCTTGAAGCGAGAAAAGAAAATTAGGAAGGTCTTTCAATACTTGGAAACTTGAAGCTTTGAGAACTTGGATTTTTTATGTTTCATTTCCATTCGTCACAAATACAGTCTGACCCATCTGTACTCTCTTTTCCCTCATCGACGAGGTCATAGAATCATTGAAAGGACGTGTCTAAAAGCGTTTCTACAAACTTTCAAGAAATTCAGGAGCTTCAAGGGAAAAGCCAGTTTTCATATCACTTTATCGAGACTGCTTGGAAAGTTCTGACCTGTCTGCCATCTCTTTTCCCTCACCAGCGAGGTAATAGAGTAAGCGAAAACATGAGAGAGCGCAAAGAAAGCAGAAAATCTTGAAATGTAGCTTTTAGTATGAAATTTTATCAACAGAAAAAAGGAAATTGGAAGGAAACAGTTCGTACGGTTCAATGGGCAGACGTGACCGAGGAGGTTGGATTCTTGGGAGGCGGGTTGGGGACAAAGAGCGGAGTGGGAGTAAAAGCCGTAGAAGCGGGGCTTGCCCGGAGAGGAACTCTCGCAGAGGTGATCAGCGGCGGCCGAGGCGGCTGGATGCCGTTTTTGAACATGTAGACCCGGTGTTTGTAGCGTCTGATGTAAGAGAAGAAGGCGCAGAAAACGACGAGGTCCATGGTCGAGATGATCACCTGGCTCACCGCCAAGTCCGCTATCTCCGGTTCTGAACGATTAGGAGTTTTTTGAGTTAGTAGATAAGACTTTCTTGGCTTGAAAAGAGGAAGGGCTCTTGATTTTTGAAAAAAATTCCTTTTCCAAGTTGAGAAAATTGACGAACCTCCCTGTTTACCAGTGAGAACGATCAACAAGCAAGCAATCTCGCATAGAAGTTTCAAAGTCTGGAATTGGGATTTCCTTTAAAAATTTATTTTTTTTGCATTACCGATACTATAACGCATATATAGGCGTACACCTTTCTCATGCCTTTTGCAAATTTGAGACGTAGTAAAAGTCCGATGAGAGTCAGGGCCAGTATGATCAGACAGCATATACCGAAGGGACTTTTGAAAAACTCCCACCCTGAAAATGAGGAAAGTGCAGTTTATTTAGAAAAACTGCTTGAAGTGTTTAAAGGAGCATGAGCCAATATCGAAGATGGTCCCGAAACGAAAAGCTGTTTTGAGTCTTTAATTAGGTTATTCTTGACTCATAGGCCTCGAAACGTTTCAAAAAAAGGCGGTGGGTGATTTATATTTGTATTATCGCGTTTTGAACTTAGAGACTTACTAAATTTTGTGTTAAGGGCTTTTGAAATCCAAAAACCGCGTGCAATGGTAATTAGAGCGAATAAGTCATTGCAAACCCTGCCGTATTTGGAAATTTAGACAAGTATTCTCAAATCAATTTGATCCTGGTTCATTCAAAGCATACTTGATATAATATTTACGAGGGTTTCTGATAAGATAAGTAAAAATTCAGGTCAAAAAAGGAGAGAAAGTTTCTTTTTTTGTGCTCCTCACTGCCTTGGTCAGAAAGAATGAGCTTCTAACTTTTCATATTTTTTTAACGAAAAGAAATCATCCGCATCATATAGCCTATTCCACGCCAGCTTGTCGCCATTTTCGTTTTTCTGTGAGCTACAGAACCCTTAGCTTCGATGCGCGCGGCCTGTCTCTGTGCACGCGCCTTTAATATATTGGAATTTTAGGTAAAATAATTTGATTTTCACTTGAAACATTTTTCTAAGCTGAATCGAATACAAATCAAATGATTTAGGCTCAAGTTCATGTTGTATTGAAGGCGCATGCATAGAGACATGCCGCACGCATCGAGGGGAACGTTTCTGGCTTGAAGGAAAGCAAAAATCGTGAAAAACTGGCGCGGAATCTATACTGTTTGAAACTTGCGCAGTACAAGGAAAAGAAACCAGGAGTCCTGGTGATATTGATAACGACCAAGCTGAATATGCTAAAGACGAGGCTGTAACTCAAGGCGAGAACCGAAGAAAGGACGCACGTATAAGTCGCTTTTGTCCATTTCGCCTGAACTTTTGATTGTCATTTGAATATTTTAAGTTTCCGTGGTTGCATTTGGAATGTTTCTAAGCGTCGTGGTCGCGTTTTGGTTGAAATTCGCGTCTAGAGGCGACTAGATATTCGTAATATTGTTCGGAGGCATTCTGATGACTTTGCGCGCAAGTCGTTTCAAGTCGGGAGCGTTTAAAAACAACCGCTTTGTAAGAATTGCGCATATAGCCATTCTAATTGCGACCATGATCCAATAATTTTGAAAAAGTTAAAAGGGACTCATTGAAAAATATTATAGTCCATTCACTATAGCTCGAAACGATCTGTTTTCTCTGCGCTTTCTTTTCTCTCACGTGCCATTTCCTGGCTTCTATGACCTAGTTGGGGAGGGAAAAGAGAGGGCAGACAGGTCAGACAGTAAAAGAGGGAATGGGGGGGAACTGACCGGTTTTCGAAGAGGCGGATCCATCTGACCAGACGGGATGTGAAATGCCAACTTTTTTTCTTAAGTTCTACGTTTCTTTTTCTTTTTTGCTTAATCAATAATTGTCAACCTAAAAGCTACTGAAAGTAGAAAAATTGATTAAATCACAAAAAAATGGGAATAAAATCCAATTTTTGGAAATAAGAAATGGAATAAAAAGTCAGAAATTTCGATTTTCACTGGTTCTTTTTCAGATTTCCGTCAAAAAAATATTCTGTAACCTGTAAAAAAATTTTTGCTGAAGTGAAAAAAGAGTTTAACAATAATAAAATTACATTTTTAGGAAAAATTTACAGAAATCAATCGTCAAGGTCAACGAGCAAGTACAGCTTCAACATGGAGCTCCTGACAGCCTGGATAGGTGCGTTTTTTTCAGGAAAAAATAATGTTCCGAATTCAAATAAAAATAGTTGTATAACTTCATTCCCTCTACAATTTTATTCATGAAAATCAACCAATAAAACCAAATTCAATTAATAGTCTTGAAGTTCTCGAAAAAGTCCTTGGGAAGGGGTTGGTAGGGGTCGCCTTGGATCCATCCGACCGGAAGGCCGTCCAACATCTTGATTTGGGGCAAAACCTCGCGCATCCGGTTACGGTAGGTGTAGTCGGAGCTGCAAGATGGGAATGGTTATGTTGCTCATTTTAGAAGATATTTTTCCCTGATTTCTAATAACTCCTTTTTTGGAAAATGGAAAAGAATAACATTGCCTTTTTCGAAAACATTTTCTTGTTCAACAAACAAGAAGATAACAAAAGCATCACGATTATATATCACAACAGAAAAAGAAACTTGACGTAGTTTTGTCATTTTAATTCCTTGGAAATTCGACAAATTTTTTCTTGCAGTCGCATCTGTAGAGAAATCTCCAAGTTTTTGTTCATTTTGTGAAAAAATAGCCACCAAAAAAGGAACATACGTGCTCTACGTATAATCTGCGTTTTTTTCAAATTTGTCAAGTACTTTCGCATTTTTTTGCAGAAATTTAATAATTATTTCAAAAAAATTGATCAATTTTTCTTCTAAATATTTGTTGGCTGATTTTTTTGAATTATTTTCTCAGAACATCAAGCGCCTAGGTTATTTTTGAGTTTTTTTATAAGTGGAAGATTTCTCACTCAAGGCCAATTTCACTTTTTATTTATTTATTTATTTTTTTGTTTTGAGATTCAAATCAGTGATAGATTCATCGAAGACTCTCAAGTGCAGAAAAAAATTTTTAATTTGAGAATATTTTTTTGAAAGACGGAAATATAGGAAAAATCCTCATTTCAACCTTATTGAACGTCTTATTTTCTCTGGATTCATCACTCATTAATTTTATCCGTCATTAAGATTTATATTTTCTCCCTCTCTATAGTAAAAAAGAATCTCAAAGAACCTGTAAACGGGATTCATTTCCAACATCAGCATCCGTAGTTGTGTAATATCGCGTAGAGCGAGCAATTCTTGCCACGAAGATAACTTTAAAAGAAACATTCGAAATAATCGGAAAAGCACTGCACCTTGTTATTCCTCAACCACAAAGTCCTCAGCCCGAGAATCTGATCGACATTTTCCACTCTTTCAATCAGATTATCGTTGAGGTCGAGACTGACCAGGCTTTTCAGGCCGCCGAGGCTGAAAATAGAAGATTTCGCTTTTTTCGACTGGTTTCATATCGTCTGATTGTTTTAACCATTTGAGCTGGTATTTTTTGGAAAGAAGTTTGAAAAAATCTAGAAATTCCTAGTTTTTGAGGTTTATGTAGCCAATTCACGGCTAAATTGAGACCCTAAGGGGCGTGGCCTGTCTGTACACTCCACCAACCAGACACTCTCTTTTTTTTTCATCGTGTCAGGACCCTTTTTTCGATGGTTCAAGCCAGCTTTGGGCAACTATAGCCTATTCAAATTTTTTGAATGTCAATGACGTCATTCGAAAACGCTCTGTGAATGGCTCGCTCTCTGATTGGTTCATTGCGCTTATAGGGGCGGAGCTTAAGCGGCGACTTGACATTCAAAATCTCAACATGCCTAATTATCAAATTTTTGACATTTTTCGAGCAAGGAGAACACTTATACTGTACAAGCGAGGTTTGAACTTCTTTTTTTCTGCGTTTGAAACAGAAAAAGTAGTTTGGATGGTTGAGAAATTTATTTTGTCATGACATAAAGCTCGCATTCGGAATGGCTCAAAGCGTTGCAGTTGGAAGCATCTTTTTTCGATGCGCAAGTCATTTTGAGTCGGGCGCTCCTTAAAAAAAGCCGAAATTCGAAGCAGTTACGCATCGAGCCATTCCTAATACGACCATGAACTTTAAAGTTGAAGATCTAGTCGAACTTTCATTGTTATTTAAAAAAAGAAATTTAATTTTTTTCTAGTGTCAAGAACCATTTCTTTTTTTGCGAAAAATCTTTGCCCTAATTTTTGCTTTTTATAAAGTCCAACGCAAAGATTATTGATTTTTTTATGATATCTTGTCAATTTTAATGATAGTAAGAACTTACCCATCCATCTTCCGAATTCCATTCTGAGCCAGGCCCAAAGTTTTCAGCTTTTTCAAGTTGTCAAGTCCTGCTATCACTGTGATCGCATTTGCTGGGATGCTCAAATCTTCCAAGTTTGTCAGTTCATCGAGGCCTATAATTTTATCATTTTTTCAATAACATTTTAATCAATTTGCGGAAATGGACAGTTCTTATTAATGTTTCATAGCTTTTTATAATTTCCTCTTAAACTCGAGAGTGCAATTCTCTTTGAAATCTCATTTCGAATTCGAGGACCCTATTGATTTTTTTGTCGCCCGTTTTTTTAAAGGATCAGAAACGATTAGAATCATTTTTTTCGAGAAGTTTGGCCTTCAAAACCCAGAAATAAATTAAAAAAATTAGAAAAGAAAAAAACTTTTCAGTAGCCTTATTGTTTCAATTAGTTTTTTTGTCAGCATGAAAGTAATTGAATTACGAAAACGTCAGCATTTGAAAATGTGAAAGTTCTTTCAGTTTTTCATACCGGCATTAATAAACTTTAAAAAGCCTAGCACCACTTTTCTCTCTGATACAGTATTTTTGGACTATGATCTAATCTCGCTGATACCTTCGATCTTCCTTATCTGATTAGCCCCAAGGAAAAGCTTCTTGAGCTTCTTCAAATGTCCAAGATTCTTGATAAAACGAATTCGATTGTCGCCAAGTTCGATGAGCTCCAATTCCGTTTGCTGTAATACTTTTAAAAATAATTCAGACTAAAAACTCTCTGAAATTATCGATTTTTGTTTTCTACAAGCTTTGATCTCCAAAACACTCTTTGACCTTATTCTTTTATTAAAATAGAAAAAAACCAACATTTTCCAACCCTTCGATGATTTGAATCTTGTTGTGAACCAAGTAGAGCTCCTTCAACTTTTTCAAGTTTTCAAGTCCTTCGATTTTCGGTATCCGATTAAAAGAAACGTCGAGAAAAGTGAGATTCACGAGATTTTCCAAATTTTCGAGCTTGTCGATCTCAAAATGATAATTTGAATATTTTTATAGCAAAAATTAACCTGATTATCGTAGAGAGTTAGGTAGGTAAGGCTGGTCAAGCATTCGAAATTCTCGATTCTCTTGAACAAATTCCAACGGAGTGTTAGTTTTCTGGAGAAATATTCGCTTTTTTAGCTTGTCAAGGAATAAACTTTCTTAAAATGTAGAGAATCTTCAAAGAACTAAAATTTAATTGAGGTGCTAAGCCTCGAAAATCGGAAAAAGCCGACTTTCTGTGAAAATGTTTAGTGGCCAATATAGAGGCCCGCCGAGGACTACTTAGAAAGAACTCTAAAGTGGCCACTATTTTCCGTTTCAGTGGCCACTATAGAGGTTCTCTATTTAGTGGGCCACTTCAGTAGTTTTTCATCCAGTATTCTTTCTAGTAACTCTGATAATTTCAAAACAAACAGATTGGACCAGTTATGTTGATCCATTGACCCTTAAAGTGGCCACTACAATTTTAGTGTTCAATTATTAGCACTTAGACCTCTATAGTGGCCACTTATCTTTAACCCCGTAAGTGGTCACTAATTTGACTACTATAGTGGCCACTGAAACGTCAAAACCCTATAGTGACTACCAAACATTTTCCCAGTTGACCGCTTTTCCCGTCGATAAAGCGTACTTTCAATGCTTTTCTTTAAATAATGGACATATTTTGCGATTTTAAATTTTTTTGAAACTGGCTTTAGTGAGTTTATAACGTCTCAAAAAAAGAATAAAAATTATTCAGACCCGAAAAATTTAGCCGGGTATGATATATAAATATAATGAGATTTCAAGTTTTTTTGGATTTTTTTAAAAGCCTTTTTGTAAATTAACCGTAATTTTTTTCCACTGTTTTAAATTTTTTTCCTTTGTCTTCAGTATAAATCATAGGATTCTCTGATCAGAAATCGATTCAAAAACTGTGAACCAATATTTTTTATAATGGAATGGGTTAATAAACCCAAAAATTGCATGGAAAATAACCGGATGTGTACTATTTTAGAGCGTTAAAAGAGTCTAATTTTTGTTATCCCAACTCAATTGTTCCTCTAAAAAAATAAAAAAGTAGTCGAAGTTTTTTTTGTGCATTCAGAAACGAAACATACTGTAAGTCCTCAAAGCACTCGAAATTCCAAGCGCGTATGGTACGGTAGCGCGTCAAGTCGAGCTCTTTCGCCGCCGTGTTGACGTCCAATTCTGATTTGGATCATTTTTTGTGCAATTTGCAGAATAATTGAACAAACCAACGACTTCCTGGATAACTCTGCCCTTGCCTTCGTTGGAGACGACTCGTTCGACGGTGAACATTGAGAGAAATGACCGGATTTTCGTTGGAATCTCACGTTTTGAAATTATTTTGAACTATTTTTGATAATATTCTTCTTTTTATATATTCGTATTTTGACCTAGAAAAACCCCCCAATATCAAAATTCTTGAAAGAGACCGAAAAATTTATAATTTTGAACTTTTGAAAAATCTTTTTTGAACCATTGGATGACCTAGAATTGGCCTGAATCAAAAACTAGTTTTTAAAAAAAGTGATTCGAAAAAAATGTTTATGGTAAGCGGCAAATTTAACATTCAAGTGGCCACTGGAGGGTAATTTGATGGTCTTTGATTTCTTGATTATTCAGTACTAGAATTTCTCAGTATTTTTTTGAAAGTTTGATTTTTTTTTTTCGTAAAAATTAGTTTATTTTGAACCCCTTTGAGTGGAGATCGAAAAGAGACCAAATTCTATCAAATTTAAATTTTTTAGCATCGCTTTGCTCTCAAAAAAGTTCATCATTTCAGGAATTTTTACCTCAAGTAGTATATGAAATTTTTAGAAAAAAGAGTTTCCTGCTATTTTTTGCTACTTTTTTCAAATTTCCAGTACATCTCGTTTTTTTTTATCCACTTTTCCCGTGGTGAGATGAAGCTTATTCACCGCTGAATTGAGCCTTCAAAGAAAAAAAAAGGTCTTGACACGATAATAAAAGAGAGTGCTTGGTTGGTGGAGAGCGCAGACACGCCACGCCCCCAAGTTAGCCATGAATCGACTTATATCCTTTCTTAGTTGTAATAGAAAACTCTAAAGGGAAAAATTGTATTTACGCTTCTTGAAAGACCCTTCTGAACAATCTTAAACATCAACTTCAACAAAAACCGACTGCCGGAGAGCAAATTTATCGCCGAGGGAAAGAATTCGAGAGAGATAGTCGCTTGAGGGATCATTTGACACGACGAAGGGCTTTTCCTTCGTTGTCGTGGCCAATTTCGTGCGAGTTGATGTCGCAGATGGTGACGTTGCCGCGTTTGGCGCCAGCCGGGGCCATGGCGCCGCGATCCGGCGTCTTTCGCTGCTTCAGAAGGCCACGCTCCCGGGCGGCGATGGCGCGCACGTCTTCGTTCATCTGCACGCTCGGCGGTTGCATCACCTGGAAGAACGGAATCTTGGAGCAATTTGAAAAGACGTTACATTTGCCGAGAGAGCGTTCTTGGACCAAAGTTTGGCCTCGACAGAGTCTGGTCGCTCCACGACGAACGTCACGCGGCCCTTCTCCTGAAAGATTGTTGGTTGCTGATTTTTTTGAGTAGTCGTAACTTCTTTTTTCTAGACCTTCTAGAATGTTCAATCTCGGAATCGGAATCAGCTCAAGAAACTCAACCTAATGAAGTTTATCTCATTCAAAAGTCCAAACTCGAGTTGGACCATCCTCTGATAAGGAAGCCCGATACGGAACAGCTTCGGTTTTCAGAAAATTCATGGATACAAAATTATTCTTAAAATGCAAACGCCTCTTGCTTCAGTCTGGTTAGCTTGGATCACGCAGAAACGTTTTCAACGGAAGAAACCTGAATGTTCTTGACGAGCAGGTCCTTGGCGACGTCCTTGTCGGTGACGGGGACACCGTCGACGTCACACAGATGGTCTCCGAGGACGAGGCATTGACTAGCGAGAGAGCCGGGGATCGACGCGCGACACCAACACGCGGTTCTGGTAGTGCTTGATGCCGAGTCCGAGTTTCGGGCCGTTCGTTTGCCAAATCAGCGTCGCCAGCTGAAAAAATAAGATATTTTTGGATTGATCTGGAGTAGGAGAAGTCTTCAGGATCGCTTCTGAAAGGACCTGGTCCTAATCCTCTATTTTTCATATTTTTCTCGGCCGGACTTGGTTTTGGCTTAACCGTCAAGTTACTTCAAGCTCACAAGGGCTATCCTGACTCTCATCTCTACTGGATGGCTAGTGAATCTTTCTTTTCTGAGTGCTATGATGACTATAAAGATGCCGGTTCAGGACTTTTGAAATTATCGAACTTTCAGAACTGCTACTGATCTTCTAGCTCACAGAGTGCACTAGGAAACTTTTTGAATGTTTTTATGAAAATTCCCAATTTTTCTGTTTGTCTGGATTTTACTAAATCTGTAACTGATTCGGAAAAATTCTTACTAATCCGGGACTTTTTCGCGCAGAAAAATGAGAAGTTTTTGAGAACTATCCTACTTTTTTTTTTCCAACGACAGGGCTTTACAGAGTCGACTAACTTTTAAAGCCAAGATTCAAGCTTCACCTCATAAACGAAGCCTTCACGACGTTGAATGAGCTTGGCGCGTTCTTCCGGGATGTTGACACGTGCTTCCAGTTCTTCCGCCTTCTTTTCGTCTCTAAACAGTCGATTCAAAACATTTGAACTCCAATCAGCTCCCACCGAAGAACAGTCAAATGCACAGCAGGGGCGGCATAGCGCAATGCACGGAAGAATTCCGTCGTGTCATTGATTTTACGACCATTCACTTCCTTGATTTGATCACCAATCTGAAAGCTTTTTTTTTCTTGAAAATCATTTCTTTCGTGGCTCGGCTTTCGGATTTTTTAAACCCTATTCTTCTCTTTTTGCGGCTTTTTCATCGTAGCACTTCAATCCAAGAAAGGAGCTCGGGGGATTTTTGAAAAAGGCCAAAAAACACAGGAAATCTTGACAAAACTGGAAGAAAACACCTTTTCCATTGCTACTCTGCCTTCGGTGCTACGACAAGAGTTTTTCCATTTGAGAGGAGTACTGTATGTGCGCATTGCGTGTTCACACTTTCGTTGCGTGACGTCACCGGGTAGGACATCTCCTGGTTTGTTTCCGAGTTTTTTTCGAAATTTTTTTCAATTATTTTTTTGATATTGTTTTTTATCGTGCAAATATCATCGAGAAAAATGCGAATCTTGAAAAAAAAATTTTTTTAAAACCCCGAGATGTCCGACCCGGTGACGTCACTCAAAGAAAGTGTAAACACGCAAAGTTTATGCACTCAATATCCGCATACAGTACTCTTCGCGAATGGAAAACTCGCTCTTGTCGTAGCACCCTGCCTTCAACTAGTTTCATTCCTTTGAAGTTTTCAAGCCTTCAACTAGTTTTTATGCATTTGGCCAGTTTTAAGATTTCAGCCTTTTTCATGTCTTGAATTATTCACTATGATTCTATCAACCAGTTCAAACGTCTTTAACCAGCTTCGACGCCTTTAATCAGTTGTTTTTCTTTCAACCATTTTTCATTCCCCTAAACCCTATTCCTGCCTTAAACCAGTTTCTATATCTTTAACCACTTTCTATGCCTTCAACCTTCAAAAAGTTCAACTGACCCTAAGTTTACCCTCGGCGATGGTGCCGTTTTGGATTTTGGTGATGACGAGCTTGTCATTGGGCGTGGCTCCGAGAGGCTCGCCCTCCTCCATATCGATCGTGATCTTGATGGTGCCAGCTTGCGCCTGAATCCCGTCTTCGTTTTGAGAGAAGAGAAGAAGGCCGAACCATAGTGATAGAAGCGCTGCAGTCGCTGGCGGATCTTGCCAATGAAATAGTCCGAAGTTCGGAACGACGTCTTATCTCGTCACGTTTTTAATGTTATCCACGTCATCTTTTCATTATTTTTGTTTTGTAAGGTGAGCATTTTGGGGTTATTTTGAAATTAGAGCCGATTCACGGCTAGAGGGCGTGGCCTGTCTGCGCTCTCTTTTCATTTTTTTTTTTAAATCGTGTCGGGACCCGTTTTCCAATAACTCAAGACAGTCGTGAACCACCTTAACCTGCGCCTGGAACATAAACCGACGGTACTCTCAAGAGACGACAGAGAAAACAGTTTGCTCTCTTTCTCTGCCCTCTCTTCAAACCCCTAACGCTCTAGTCCAGTTTTAATCTTTATTATCAGTTCGAAATGGTTTTCTGAAGTAATTAAAGATTCAGAAGTCTTGCACAATCAACGATTAAACTAAAAACTACTCTTTATGAAGAGGAAAAAATTATATACCTAACCTTTCAAGATGAACATTTTTCTCCTGAAGTTTCTGACTTTTCCTTCAAGGCCTCTGTTTTCGGATCGCATTTTGTAATCTCAAGACTTCATTTTTTTTTTAAAGTACATGCAAAAATAACACGTAATTGTTCGTAGTAAGCAGAGGCAATAATGTATCAAGCGAACAAGAAATACATTGGATTATTGCTCCATTGGTGGCAGAAAAACGTCTTCTGGGATTTCCATGACTCTTGCGTAACGGGAGAACATCGCGCGGTCTTCTTGAGTGATTGGAGAGAGCTGGAAAACTTTTTTGAAGTAAAAATTAATCATTTTACTCAGGATTTTGGTCAGGAAGTTTCAGTATTAGAAGTCATAGATCAAGAGAACTAGAAGAGACGCCAGACAAGAAAAATATTACTCTCTTTCTTTGGCGTCTCTCCTTTACAACGCTCTCTCAAATTTTATGTCTGTTGAACGCTTTGAAGGCGTAGAAGATACTGAACCAATAATGGAACACATTTTCGCTTCGAGAACCTATGAGGAATGCGTCTCTGCTCCTTTAAAAATTTCAAAAACTCTTATTTCTTTTTTTCATTTTTAAAAAGTTGTGCGTGTTTATAATAGAATAGACTAAAATATTATAGACCAAAGGAGCCTGAAGAGACGCTAAAGAAAAAAAATGCTCTCTTTCTCTCGCCTCTCTCCTCCAATGACCTCTAGTAGCCTTTTCATGTATGTATTTGTTAAAATATCCGTTACTGGCCTTTCTAAAGACGCAGGAGCCTTTCACAACCTCAGATAATCTTCAAAAAATTTTTTCGCTTCGAGACCTTTTGAGAGACTTTCCTCTGCTCCTTTACAAAACTCAAAAATGATATTAGATCAAGAAGATACCTTGATATGGGTCAAAAGGGAAGAAGATAAGAAACTGCCGGCCTGAGAATCACTTTCGAGCCGTTCAGCAGCTTCATCCACACATGATGCAGGAATATCGATCTGTAATTTTTTTATTTTACTTTTTTTCAAGTATAAATAAGCGATTTCGTGGTTGATACTGCAGAAAAGTGTCACGAAAAAAATAATATAGAATTATCTAGAAAGAGGTCCTAGCGCGATTATTACAGTAGCCTTTTCACTTTTTCGAGTATAAATGAAGTGATTTTAGAGTCAAATGACCGGAAATTGTCATAAAACTTGAGGAACCTGTGATTTTATAATAAACAGGTTTTGGCGCGATTCTTACAGCAATCTAAAAGTTTTCATCTTTCACCTGGCATTGATGGACAGAAAGCAAGAGAGCGTTTGAAATTTGGAGACAGTCAGACATACAAAGTTTCTCTAAAGCCTCCATTTTCTTCATACTCTCTAGTTTTTGGCGAGCTTCTAGCCCTCTTTAGGCTTTTTCGATTGATTTTCCTTTCGTTTATACTTCTGTAATTTATCGATTTATCGATTTCGGGTTTAAATGAAACTATCTAATAATCGAATCACCGGAAAATGCCGAAAGATCTGAAGAATCTATGAATTTTTAGAATACAGGTTTTGGCGCAATTCTTACAGTAATCTAAACGTTTTCATCTCTCAATTAGCTTTGATGAATAGAAAGCAAGAGAGCGTTTGAAATTTGGAGACACTCAGACGTCCATAGTGTTTCTGTAGCCTCCACATTTTTCATGCTCTCTAGCTTTTTGCAAGCTTCTAATTAGTTTTAGGCTCTTTTGATTGAATTTTGTTGTTTATAATTTCATATTTAGACTCCAAACCTTCTCAAAAAGACTCTCCAAAGTCTTCCTGGTTTCTCCGATGACGTCATGGAACCAGATGACGTCAGAACAGTAGAATTTCTTATTTTTCAAGTAGTGCGAGTACGGGGCCGCGTAGACGATAGCTGTCCATTCCTGAAAATTTTCTCAAATTAAAAAAAAAAAAATGATAGAATCCATTATCGATTTATTTTTCAAAAGAGACAATTGATTTTTTTTATCTTTTAAAGCCAATGGAAGCTGAAAAAGGCCAAGATCCTAAGCTTAACGAAAATAAAACTGCTTAGGGTCAAGTTCAGAATTTTTAATCGAGTTTTTACCCTCAACGTCCTCGGCGTCAATTTCTGTGCATAATTGTATTCCTGACAAATCAATGAGCCTGGATAACTTGGCGGAAGTCGATTAAATCGGTCCAGGTCCCATTTTATCAGAGCTCCTTCTCTGGAAAAAAAAATAGTTTGATTTTTTTTTTCCAACGACTTTCCAGCTATCTTGTCCCAAAGCTCAAAAGTTGAAAAAAAAACCTTTTTCGAAGAAAATCATAGTTCCCTTGAGCTTTTTCGTTTATCCACTGGGAAAATGTTTAGTGGCCACTTAAGAGGTCTCTCTATGACTAATTGTAAAGGACCCTAAAGTGGCCACTACTACTACCTTTATAAAGGGTCTTAGTGGCCACTATAGCACTTTTAGAAGTCTAGTAGTACCAATTAGACTTCGAAGGAGGCCACTAAATTTTAGCCTCTTAAGTGGCCACTAATTTGACTACTATAGTGACCACTAGAAACCCTAAAGTAGCCGCTGTAAATTGAGTATCTACCTACCTGTGAACCATCTTTTCAACGGACTGGAACCCATTTTTGCGGAACATGAAAATGTGCTTCAAATTGGGCACTTCCGTGCAAAATGGTACTAGAGAAGCTTCACAGGACGTCGTTTTGAGGATAAGAACCTGAAATCGGGTTTGGATGAGGTGGAATTGTGAGAAGTTGATGAAAAATGAAACAGGAAACAAGCAAGTCAAAAATCCATCAATTATAATTTCCAGTGACATCCTTTTCTTGAAAAAGAACTTGAACTTTTTTTAGTGGATGTGATTATACAAAAAAATAGAGCTGAAAAAAACTCGAAAAAAAGCTGCAGAAAATTGAAAATTTCAACATTTATAGTGAATTTTTTTCGAAAGACGTCATTTCCAAAGCGACCTTACAACATATATCTTATAAAAATTTATACAGAAATAGAGCTGAAAAACTCGAAAAAAAGCTGCAAAAACTGGAATTTCAAAATTTACAGTAATCTTTTTTTCGAAAGAAGTTATTTCTAAGCGACCTTACAACATATATCCTATAAAAAAATGAGATCTTCTCCGACAGAAATTGATAATTTCATATGAGGAAAAGGCATTAGAATTGAAATCTCTCAAACAAATAACAATTTTGGGGTAAATTTTTTTGTTGAAAGGAGATAAAATTGAAAGATTTTCGGCCTAAATTGAGCTTCCTAGTACAAAAATTTTAGTATAATGAAAAGTTATTTCTAAACGGAAATCTCAGCCTCATAAGTGCTTTCAAAACCTGATTACATGATTTTTCACCGTTTCAAGAAACATTTTCCAAAAAAACTGATTACTTTCAACAAGGAGATGGTTGGAGAATTTGAAAAGAATCTTAAAAACTTCCAAAAACCCAAGATTTTCGGTAAATCTTTCATGAAAGAAAATCAAGTTGAAAGATTTTCGACCTAATTTAAGGATCCTAATTACTAATTTAACTCATATTTCGTTGTTATAAAAATTTCCGAAGATGAATAAATAACTCTTTTTCAAATTAAAAAATTCTCATTGTTGTTAGAGTTATTCTTGGAAAAATTGAGCTGAAAAATTGAAAAATAAACTTCAAACATTTTTTTTTATTTTAAACGAACCTGATCTTTCGGAACGTGCCACCTCAGGCTGTTGAACACTGCGCGGGCCAAATTTGGGAGCTCCTAGAAATTTTTTTCAAGAATCACAAAAAAAAACTTTCGAACCTACCAAGTCGGAAAAGTATTTCTGCTGCTGACCCATGGCCAAATGACACAAAACGTGGGGTTCTGCGAGACAGACGGACTTCCCCTCGTTGTCCAGCATTCGGGCCAATAAGGTGCTCCCGCATCTGGCCGTGTTTGTGTAGAGAACCGTCTTTGGGGGCTCTTCGATGCTTTGGAAAAGGTTCAGGAATGTCGGCATCGGCACTTCCGCCACGGCCAAAGCCTGGAAAGTCACTTTTAAATTTCAGTTTTGGTTGATAGTCTGAGATATTACGAGTTATTTTATTGTCATAATGACTGTTTGCGCGAAAATTTAAGTTAACGGTCAGAGAGTGAAAAAAAGATAACTAGATTTTTGAAGAGTTAGGGATGATTTGGCATGAGATTACTTTGAAATTTCCTGAAAAAAATACAGAATTTTTTTGAAATTTTGACCATCTTCCCCCTCCCCTCCTCGAGAATTCTGGCACGATCCGCTAAATTTCTGATTTTTTTCATGCAAATGATTCTAGGTCTTTTTCTCTATATACCACAAAAATACCATTCTCAAGAAGGCTAGGCACTTTTGAAGGTTTAGACTTCCAAATCCCCCAAAAAAATCAAAAGTTAGATTCCAAGCGAGAGAGCTCGTGAGCTACAGAGACGCAGAAACCTCTTTCTCAGGACTCTCTCAATCTCCCACGCTCTATCACTCTTTTAGGAGTTTTTTACCCAAAAAAAAAAGAAATTTTTTTACCTCCTCAAACATCGGGACGAAAATGAAAGAAGTGCTCCTGGCACTGTACTGCTTGACGTCTTTTGGCAAGAGAACATAGTAAACGACATCCTGAAATCGGAATGCTCTTTCCTGGTCGCATTTGAAATGGCTAAACGCCCAACGACTTTTTCGCCCGACTCGAAACGACTTGCGCCCTTGAGCATCAAAAAGAGTTCAAGCCATTCCAAATGCGACCCCGAATGTACCTTATAAATCGCGTAGGGAACCCATTGAGGCGATTTCAAAACTGAATAGTCGGCCAAAAATGAACCGGATAGCAGAAAATCACAATCATGGGCGATTTGTTCCGGGTCTAAAATTTACAAAAAAAAAAATAATTTTTTTTTTGACAAGATATACCTAATTTATGTCGGTAGAGAATGTTGTTGATACGAATTTGGCCCTCTGGTATGACTTGCTGTTTTTTGTAGATTCGGAAAGCTTTCACGATTTGATGAATAAAAAGACGGATGACTATGTAGAGGTAGTAGAAAATGATCCGAAAAGACAGTTTGAAATGATCTTTGTCGATTTCTGAGCCCCTTTGGAGCAGGTTCTTGAGCTGGAAAGGGATATTTATCATTTTAGCAAAAAAACAGATTTAAAAAAATATATAACTTATTTGAAAATTTAAAAAAACTCACCAATGCCATTTTTTTGGCGACTTGTAGTGCACTAAAAATTGAAAACTCCTTAGTAACCTCGGACTTTTTTCTAGATTCGCTGGTAAAGAAGTCTGAAAAATTTAGGGATTTTTGAAAAAAGATGGTAAAGGACTCGCAAAAAAATGGTCAGGAAAAGGACATGTTTGAAAAATCTGAGAAAAAGACAGTTCTAAACAAATTAAATGAAAAATAATAATTTCAGAACGTTAAATTTTCACAAATTCACTTTTTTTAATTCTTTTTATAAAATTGTTACCTAATTTTTGATTTTTTTTAAGGTCTTTACCGAAGAATTATTCAAATTAATGAACCTAAATTTGGAAGAAAAAGAAAAAATAAACGTGATTTTGGTTACAACAACAAGTAGAGTGATAAGAATTTAATCCCGATGACCAAAAAAGTTTGAACTTTCTAATCTTTGATTTATATTTGAAAAAAAAAACTGGTTCAGTAATAAAAACCTCAAGAAATCGAACTGGAAAAATTTGCAGAGTGCAATAAATGAGTTTGGAAACGGACTATTGACGTTTCCACTCGAGGAGAAACGTTGTGAAAAATAGTAAACAAGTGAGAGAAGTATATATTTTCGGACCAACTCGCGGCAAAAATAATCAATATTTCAATCTTCTCAATGCAAATAGTGTAGACGGTAACCTCAACTCTATACTGAACAAATTTTTGAATTGAATATATTGAATTAACTCCAAGAAATTAGTTCATAAAGACGATTAAATCAATTTTGAACATAATTGCAAAGTGAAGAACCAAAAAAGGAAGAAAGTAGTCAAGAAAACAACTTTTTGAAGTGGAAACTCACAAAAATATCCGCCATTTTATACGGGTTGAATAGCTGACGCTTATTTACACGTCGAGTTTCGGGGGTATTTCGCAAGAAAAGATTCGAAATGACTAGTAAGAAAAATACTGAGAGATTCAAAAAAACCAAAACAGTTATTGAAAAGTCCTGTAGTTACATAGGATTCCGCCGGAAATTGAGCTTTGAATTCTGAAAAAAATTAATTATTTTATTAAAAACCCCCTTTCATTTTTCCATAATTGAAAAAAATTCTTAAAAAAATACAGCGTTAAAAAAATTCGGAGTGCTTGAAAAATGTAATCAATCCGTTATTCATTCTTCTTTCAATCGAAACTTTCCCATTTGAACCTCAAAACAGCTTTTTTTCCCATTAAAATTGAAATTGAAAAAAATTAATTACTCTGCGTCATGATTGCATTATAACCGCGCCCAAGTTGCGAATGCCTGAGAGCCGACACGCCCACTTTTTGTGGTTATTTACGAAGAGAGCGTGTTTCCTCTGGAAACTTTTTGTTTTTGATAAGCTTCTCATTTTTCTTTGTTTATTTTTGGTTTTTGTTGTTTCTGGAAAAATTTGGAATCATTGGTGGTTAAATTTCAAAAATTTCGGTTGTTCTTCCTATTTTTCTAATAAACCGAGAAGAAAAAGCGTTTTTTTTGGTCTTGCAAAGTGTAAATTGAAATCATTTGATGAACTCATTGGTTTTAATGTTGTTGTCAGGTTATTTTATTGCAGTTGTATGAAACATTTCCGTTCAAAAACTTCCCAAAGTCCCAAAAAGGTTTAATTTATTTGAAAATTGGCAGTTTTTTTTTACACTTTGATCATTTTTATATAGGAAAGAGCTTTTTTTCAGGGTCTCTTAAATATTTTTATACACTGCGACGTTTTTTTTTGAGTTTCAGTGCTTCTATGACTCATTCAAACGCGCAGCCAGACGTTAATTTGACCTATTTCCGTAATTTTCCTGTTTCCAGTCGTTAATTTTAGAACTTTTTGATTTCATAGAAGTTTTAGTAGATATCGAATGGAAAGAATCGAAAGAAAATCTAAAATATGAATAAGAGACAATACATTTTTGATTGAAAATCTAGTTAAATGCTATATTTTGCCTCGATTGTATTCTCAATACAAGATTTTATTGTCACTGTTCTCATCTATCATTCCAATTTGACTGATTCGAAGCATCTGTTTCGCATTGCAACACATCTGGAGTGGCCTCTCGGAATTTTAGCCGAGCCGAAAATTTCGGTTGGGAAAAATTTCGAGGCGTCAGGCCTAGTGTCCAGTTTGTGTAACAATTTTGCACGGGAGACTTCTTCGAGAGTTGTTCTTTTGAATTTTTGGAAACGACTTCTTTATTTTTTGTTGGATATATGTTTAGATTTTTGCGAAAACTGGAATTTTAAAATGACTTTGAAAAAAATTTGTTTATTTTGAGAAAAAAATTTTTGAAAAGCTTTGTTTAAAAAAATAGCAGTTTTCTATCATAACCATTAATTTTCCTTCTTTATCCTCAAATACCGTTTTCTGGGAAAAGTCAAAAAAATATCGAATTTATTTTTGTCGGTAGTTATTTTTCACACTTCGATTGCGAAAGAAAATGAATTTTTTTCCTCTCTTCGTAATTTTCAATTTTTTTCATGGCACTTTATATGCATTTTGGTTTTTTTATTGGGGTTTATTTTAATTTTTTCATGAGAATTATGATGATTTTTTTGCTCCTTTTTTTCAAATTGTACCATCAGAAACAGCTTTTTTTAAAAAAATCAATTCTAATAACAGAAAGGCTTTTTTTTTCAATTTTAAATTATATCATTTCTGATTATGAGTAATTCATTTTTGTTTTTTTTTTCAAAGTCATTTTAAAAGGACTTTTTCACTCTCACGGAAATGTTTTTCTCACTGCAAACGTCAAAATTTCATTCTTTTGTGTGAAACATTCCGCTGTTTTCGCCGGCTTCTGTACGTTTCTCTCTCCCAACAAATAGAATGTTTGTTTTTTTTTCAGTTTCTTAAGCTTCTGTTTCTTGAAAAAAAAGAATGACGAGCCCTAGTTTCAATACCGTGACCGTTTGGTTAAAACTTTGAAAAATTTAGCCACTTGACCATGACCTTCGATTTAACTTAAAAGAGATGCATATTGTATTTGAAATTATTGCAAAAAAATGAGAAAAAAAGTTTTATAGCCGTTCAAAGGGAAGATTAAGCTTTTCAGTTAAGAGCTTTAAACAGAAAAACTTCGATGAAAAAACACTGAAATCTTCATTTTGAGAAGGAAAAATTATATTTTTCTTCCAAATTTTGTAAATTTTTCGCGAAAAATAATTGGCTTTTTAACAGTAGAAAGTACAGTTTTTTTAATGTAAAACTCATTGATTTTTTTCCCTAATCCAAAAAAAGTTACTATAAATATTTCTAACTAGGAAACGTTCCCCCTCCCCCGGTTGAAGCTATTTCAAGCTTTCGAAGCCCTTTTAACCAGATCTATTCGTTGAAATTTTTTTTTCTGAATTCAGAAGGTCCTAAAGTACACTTCAGAGAAGCTTCATCACAAGCAGGGGGGTAAAAACGTTCTCATGTAAGCATTAAAAATACCGTGAAATAAAAGAAAATTGGACTTTTTTCAAGCTTGAAAAAAGTTATTTTCCATCTGAAGTTTTAGAATACTGCTTGATAATTCTTCTATGTCTAAAAAAATGACAGAAAAATGAAAATAATTTTTTTACCGGATTTATATTTAATACTTTTTTTTTTGATTTTTCGGAGCTGTAACCACGTTTTTGCCTTCAATGTTCTTCAATAAAAATCCCCTTTATTTCTCTTAAATCTTCAATTTTCAGCTTCGAACTTGGGCGATTCGACCCGAACAGCGAGGGAATGTCGATCAGCAGCAGTCAGGCCGTCGGCCCAACTGGCCGCGAATCGAAGTTGGGCCAAAGGAAGGAAAAAGAAGTCCCGATCGACCCCTCCTTGTACCCGCCTTTCATCAAACAGGTTTCTATAGATATTATAAAGCATTTTTAGAAAAAATGTTTTCCATTCATTAGGCAAGATTCAATTCAAAAGATTAAGTAGAAAGTTTGAAACAGAATAGTAAGGTTTTGTAATATTTCGGCCAATTCAGAAAAATCTCCTTAAACAAAGAATTTTTTCCTCGAAAATGAGAACTTTTTCGATAAATTCTTTGTGAATTTAGTAAACATAGACTTTGAAAATGTCAATTTAGCAGTTATCTAGATTATTTTGAAGTAAAAAAAGTTAGCAAAAGTGCCCCTTTAAGTCCCGGTTTTTGCTTGAAAGTCTTTTTTTGGATAATAAAAAAATTATTTTTTTCAGTGTAACATATCTAGATTTTTTTAACGATCTTATTTGATTAGAATATTATTGGTTTCAACTAGAATTTTTTTCTGTAAAAAAATAATATAATTAACGAAGTTCAATAATATTATTTTTTTTACAATTTATCTTGTTTTTTTCTGTGATTACTACGCAACCTTTGAAGGATATTAAGAACATTTCAACAGTCCCTTTTTTATCCCTAAAAAGTAAAAAGTGCGGAAAAAGTCTCTTTCAGGTTTCTTATTCAAGAAAAAAAGACCCCTTTTACGGCTTTTTTTACACCCCTTTTTCTGGAACTTATTACTAATTTCTTCTTTTCTAACGCCTTTTTATTTCATTAAAAAAGACCTTCCCGATAAAAAACAAGTCATGAAAAGCGCTAGGAAGATCTTTTAAAGGCCTATTTTTAGGTAATTTTAAAATTTGCCCATGAAATCGATAATCATTTCTTTCTAGCTGGACGCAAAACTGCCGGATTATGTTCGAGAAGGCGACATCGAGTACCCTTTCGAGGAGACCAACGGCGTCGGCGATGAAAATCGAATCCGAGGTGGCTTTTTGAATATTTTTTTAAACTCGACTACGTCTCCGTAATCTAAATCTTCAGAAGGAAGAATTGAAAGAACAAATTTAAAAAAAAAGTTAGTCATAAAGTTAGAACAGAACTTCGAATAGAAATAAAAGATTAACTGATGAGTATATATTTAAAGACATCAGACTTGTTCTCAAAACAAATTTTTCTTAAAAATTTGGAAGTTTCATTGAGAGTTTTTAGTTCAAAAACTCACAACAAGGTTGGTTCTTTTTTTCGAAAAATTTCAAAGAAAAATTTTTTTGTTTCAATCTAATTTTATGTCTTTCGTGAGCCAAATGAAACTAAAAAAAGCAAGATTTTTTTCAATTTTTTTAAAGGAAAACTCAAAGACTTTTTTTCACGGCTATTTGCGTCTAGGGAACATAAATCGAGAAAGAAGTATGAATATATAATTTCTATGAAACGTAAAATTGCACTTTTTGATGATTTTATTGAAAAATCTAAATTTTTAAAAATTTTTTTCAGTGTAGAAGTCATTTTTTTGAGAGTTCGTAAATCAATAAAAAGTGTATTTCAGCTCAATAATCGTTTAAAAAAAGAAGAAAAACTAAAAAGAAACTTTTTTTGATTTTTCTGATTTCATGACATATTCTGTTGATTAGGGTCCAGTTTTCCAAATTAAAAAAAATTGAGAAAAAGGGATTTTTTGGTCCGGTTTTATCCTTTCGAAAGACCATTCTACCATTTTGTTCTTCTTTCAATCAAATTTCTCGTAAACTCCTCTAGAGACCACTACGGCTTGAAAAAGTGGCTTCTATAGGGGACATGGTTGAGAAGGAATTGATCAAGTCTATTTTTTTAATTTTCAAAGCTGAACAAAAAAATTGAAGACCCTATAGGAACCACTGAAGATTTAAGAGCTTAGGGGCCAGACCTTAAACCCCTATAAGGACCACCTGAATTTTACCCTTATAGGGGGCATTTTTCCCTAACCCCTATAAGGACCACTCTGACGTCCTTAAGGATAACTTTGAATTCTCCCAGTAAAATTTATTTTTTATCGATTTTTTTTCGAAAAGTATCAATTAAATTAACTCCCTCTCTTCTTCGTTTTTTTGGGTACAATGAAATCAATTCCAATCGGGTCTATTGATATCACTGATAAGGAAGAAGAAGAAGACGTTTTTGTGTGACACGTCGTCTTTTTGGGAAACACGTGTTTCCTTCAATGTTTGTGGGAATTTTCTTCGTTTTTTGCCGATTTTTGGTGTTTCTATCGAATTTTTGTTCACAAATGTTTACCTCATCTTGTTTTTTCTTTAATTCTTTATAAAAGTTGTTTTTTTTTCTAGGAAACTGGAGCAACAAGGCTGATTATCTGTTGGCGACCATCGGGTTCACCGCCGGCGTTGGTTTGTTTTTCCGTTTTTTGTTGATTCCTTAGGGTACCAAGGTACAAAGGGTCCGAAGTTTAGCTTCTACTGCTAATTTTTGAGTTTACAAAAGGGTAAACTAAGGAAATTTCGTTGGAAGACTAGACAACGGAAAAATATTCAAAGTAAATTTACAGAAAAAAAAGTTATTTACTCTGATTTTTACTATCCATTTCGAAAAAATTCACGAGAACACTTTGAAAAAAAAAACAACAGGATTTCTTTGAATAAATTCCATTGAAAAAAATGTATTATTAACAAAAAAAGAAGGAAATTTGATGGAAAAAATATTTATTCTTCTATATTCCTTTTCCCCTTTAAAAGGTTGGGATTCCAGACAATTTTACGAGTTTTTAACTTGTACCTTCAATATTAAAAGCATTAACTTTCATGCAGCGTAAAAAAAGTTTTAAAATCAATTATTTTTATTTCCACTTTTTTTAACCAATTTCATTCTACAAGGTTTCAAAAATCCTTGTGAAAATTTCAAATTCATTCTGCTTCAAACTCATTGACGCTCTGTAAACCTCCGTTCTTACTAGGGAACTACTCGAACTCGGGTACGCGTTTCGAGTTGAAACTTTGGTGGCTTATAGACCCGGGTAAGAGTACTTGAAAACAAGAGAGATTATCTGCTAAACCCCATAGGCTTCTGAGAAAAAGCTTTTTGAAAGTGAACAATTTAGGCTTGAAAATTATCAAATTTTTGCTTTCCTCCTTCTTTTGGCTGGAAAAAAGTTTATTAGAGTTTATCATATCCGGATCATCCAAGGTGATTGTATTAAAATATGAAACAAGGTAAAAAGCAGTATTCTGAAAATTTTCAAGCCTAACTTTCACATTTTCTACTAATTTTTTCTCAGTTCTCTATTGGGTTTAGCAGATATTCTCACTTGTTTTCAAGTACTCTTACTTAAGTCTTGAACTCGAAACCCGTACCCGAGTCCGAGTAGTTCCCTAGTTAGAGCTTTTCTCATGGCTCAAAGAAAAAAAACTTATAAGTTTTGTTTTTTATTCTCTCTTTTCCTTTTTTAGAGTGAGAGTAATGGAAAATCATTTTTCGCATTGCTTCAAAACCAAATTGTAGCCGAAAAGTGATATTTGATGTATGTTTACGTGCTACACAAACATCAATTTCTTATCAATATTCGCATGGCACTTTTTGATTTATTAGCTAGTTCGAAAGGACGAATTTTTAATTTTCTTCTTATTTTACAAAAGTGAGGGCCTCAAGTGCCTTTTATTTATTTATTTCAGGCTTAAATGCCAATTTTTTCCTTCTTTTTTTGTACATGTTATTTCGTTCTGCCTGTAAATGAATTATATTATTATAATAGTTTTTTTTAAACAAGAATTTAGGTTTAATATACTCTCTTCCGGAAATTCTCTAGTTAAAGTTAAAAAGAGAAAGAAATTTTGGATTATTGAGGAGTTCATCACATTGATGTTTCAGGGCAGCGACTAAAACTTCATTAAAGATGGTTTTTTACTTAAATAGCAAAACTGTAAAACTGTTTTTGATTAACTAGTACCAAAATTGGAAAGGAATGTATCTTGATTACCAATATCCAAATTTAAATGGATCGGAATAAATCTTTTATGAAGTTCAGGAACACCGGATTTAAAAAAACTGAAAAAAATCTCGATTTTTGTGAAAAAAATTCCGTTCAAAAATCAAGAGGTTTTTAATATTTTCTAGGATATTTTGATTTTTTTCTCCAATAAAATGATAAAGAAGTTTTTAAAAAAATCGGCTTGAAACCTTCTTCAAATTTCAATCTAAAAAGAAATTGCCATACATATACTGTTAAATTATCGAGTTATAAACCCTCAAAGTCGCCGAAAATCTATTATTCTTGACTAAATTAAGTTTCGAGGCGGACTGAATATACTATATCTCAAGAGGCCTTTGAATTTTTGGGTTTCACCTAGGATTATTGAAATTATATCTCAATGAGCTCTTAAAAAAATTGAACTTTTCTTTGTCCTTGTTAGAGGGAAAATGTTAAAATTGTGAAAAGTATCAGTTTTTTTCTGTTGATTTCGAGTAAATTCAAAAAATATCTTGAAAACTGATAAATGTTTCAATTTTTTTCAGGATATTCCATTAGTTATAAACAAAACCAGTCACACAAAATCTCTTGGAAGTTTCAAAAGTCTTCGAAAAAATAGAAAAATCAAAAAATAAAGGTTTTCAACGTTTTTGAAAATGTCCCTTCAAAATTCTCAAATTTTGAACTTCCAGGAAGCTTCTGGAAGTTCCCGTTTCTGGTCTACAACCATGGCGGAGCCGCTTTCCTCGTCCCCTACTTGGTCATGTTGCTCGTGGCGGCCCTTCCGATGTTCTTCATGGAAATGGTTATTTCAATCTGAAACTATATTGAAGAATAAAATAATTTCCAGGTCCTTGGACAATTTTTCCTCGTTAGCCGCCATCTCTGTGTGGAAAGTCGTGCCGCTTTTTTTAAGGTATTTTTAGAAGAAAAAAATAGTGAGAAAGTAAGGGTTTTAACCATTTTGGTGACATTAAATTCGTATTTGCAAGGTTTTCTTGCATCATAATTATTATGTTATACCTTTTTTTAGATAGTAGGAATGTTTTTTTCTGAGAAAAATGAAGTGTTTTTTCTAAATGATTCAATGTCTTATTTTTGGCTCTGATTTTTTTGATTTAATAGGGATTCGAGATATTTTTTTATGATATTTAATCTTACAAGAAAAATTTTTCAAGAATTCAAGAAAGTCCGAAAAAAATTTCAAGAAATTTGGGTCAAATTTAAAAAAATATTTGGTTGGAAATTCGTGAGATTTGGTACGGAAATTGAACTATCTAGTAGGAAATTTTTTTGAGAACCAGAACGAAATTTTTGAAAAATTTTTGAAAGTTTGGAAACAAAAAAATTATGGTTCTTGGTACGAAATTCGGTGAGGTTTGTTCCGAAATTCATGAATTATACGAAATTTGATAAGATTTAGTATATAATTTGTAAGATTTTTGAACCAAAATTTACGAGATTTAGTAAAAAAATTTATGAGATTTGGTAGGATCCGGTACAAAAATTTATGAGGTTTCGAAGATTTTTTTAAGATGATTTATGGAGCTTAGAACGGAATTCTGCAAAGTTTCTAATAAAAAGAAACTTCATAAACCCAAAACAAAAGAAAAAAAAAAGTCGATAAATGCTCACATAAAATATTTACAGGGCGTCGGATTCGCTCAAGTGGTCCTTTCGGGGTTCTTCGCCGTCTTTCTCAACGTTATTTCGGCCTGGACATTGTTCTACTTGATCAACTCGTTCAGTTTTTCACTTCCCTGGTCGAATTGCGCCAATTCCTGGAGTGGAGCCAGTAAATTTTGCTTCTTTTAAAAGTTTTTTGAAGGAAAAACTAAAAAATTGGATCTTTTTCGCGGTTTTTTGTTTCAGAAATAAATCAAGCCTTTCTCCTGATTGTTAAGATCACATTTAGAAAAATTTTGGGCCTCATCCCGGATTTTTCAAAAATTTTATCAGAGTCAGTTTTAAGGTTGCTACAGTTTTTTCCTATACTGGGAAAATTTTCAGTGGCCACTATAGAGGCTCGAGAGAACACTAGAGTGGCCACTAAACCCACCTCTATAGTGGCCACTATTTTCCGTTTTAGTGGCCACTATAGTGGTTTTTCATCCAGTATTCCTTCCAGTAACTCTGATTAAAACAAACAGATTGGACCAGTTATGTTGATCCATTGACCCCTAAATTGGCCATTAAAATTTTTAGTGGTCTCGTAGTAGCACTGAGACCTCTATAGTGGCCACTAACTTTTAACCACTTAAGTGGCCACTAATTTAAATACTATAGTGGCCACTGAAAATTTTCCCAGTGAAACAATTCTCAATCTCACATTTTTTCAACTCCTCTTTTTTCTCGTTCTTTTTTCAAAGCTCTTCGTTTCAGATTGCACGTTGGGTACACGAATCGCGTGTACTCAAGAGAACGGAACACTTCTGGTTAACGGATCTTGTGTCGTTCAACACGACAATCTCACGATTGTCCTGCCAATCCACGACCAGAACTCCATTCCCAGTTTGAGATACTTCCAGTTGGTTTTTTTACTTTTTATATATTCTTATTTTCAATTTTTATAGCGTTCAAAAAGCACTGTTTCTGATAGTTTTCGAGCTATATCAAAAAAATCGAACTTTTACTTAAGAAATCCAGAGTGGTCCCTATAGGGGTTAGTGGAGGAAAAAATCTCTATAGTAGCCGAAAAAGAGGTCCTTACAGGGGTAAAAGGTGGACCCCATAGGGATTTAGGGTCGGATCCCTTAGCCTCTATATCTCAAGGGGTCCCTATAGGGGTCTTTCAATTTTATTCAAAAACGCTCATTTATTCAGTTTTTCTCATGTTATTCCGTTCATAACGATTATCGACTAGCCTTTTCCTTCTAGGGGCTACTTTTGCGAGCTTCAGTGGCCCCTATAGGGGTTGGTGAAGCGTTACCTAGATGGCACTCTCCAAGAGCCCCTAAAGGAACAACTCTGGAGTTCCTAAGTATATCCTATCCGCCATGGCTTGAATTTCTGCCTGTCTGCGTCTATCTGTTTCCTGACCATCAGGTCAGAGAAACAAGAAAATAGCACTTCAACATGAGAGAGCCGCCGAGAGAGAAAGAGGGCGCAGAGAAAATTTTTGACGTTTCAAGCTACGGAGAATTAACTTTAATTTAGAGTTCAGTGTGTTTATTTTGTTTTTTTGTGAGATCAGTAATTGATTTTTTTAGAGGTTTTGAGAATGTTTCTCCACTAGATTTTTCTGTTTCCAGCAACGACATGCTGATGTTATCAAACGGAGTCGACGATTTCGGAACTCTGAACTGGTACCTGGGGATTTGTGTGCTGATCGCCTGGGTCGCAGTCTTTTTGTGCCTTTTCCAGGGCGTCAAATCCAGCGGAAAAGTTAGTTTCGATCAAAATGATTTTTTGAAAATACGAGGGAGATATAATCATTGGAAAAAATTAAGAAAAATCGTTTTTTTTAACTTCAAAGAACGATAGATACAAAAATTTTAAACATGTTAGAATTATTGTTCAATCAATATTTATTTGCTAGAAAAATTTATTGAAAATTCAGTTTTTTTCCAAAGTTTTCGAACTATAAAAATGGTTACTAAATGTAAAAAAATTTACAGGTTGAACTAATTTTTGAAATTTTTCAGCTCCATGGATGAAATAGGGGTTTTTTTGATGAGAATACTGTTTCTCGCGGCTTTTTTTGTCAGAGTTTTTCTTAAAGTTAGAGCTTCATCTCCTCTTTCACGTATCGAAAAAAATAAACTTTTGATTTCCAAAGGTACAAAAATTTTGAGAGAAATGTTGGTTTTTGCACATATAACGCTTTTTCAATAAAGATTTAACTCAAAATTCAGTTTTTTTGCAATCTTTTCTCAACTTCAAATGAGGTTATTGAATGTTAAATTCATAGCTAGAAGATGATTTTTCAAGATTTTTTTAGCCCTATGGATAAAATAAGGAGTTTTTCAGAATGCTGTTTCGAGCAGCCTTTTTTTCTTGCGTTTCTTTAAATTTAAATCGTTATATTTACTTTGTTTTCGAATATTAATAAAGAAACTTGAACTTTTTGTAGGATTTATTTGTTTAAAAAGCCCTGAAAAAAATACCTTAAATCAATTCTTCCAGGTAGTTTACGTGGCTGTGATCCTTCCATTCATCATCATCACTGTTCTTTTGACCAGACTCCTCACTTTGGAAGGATCTTTTCGCCGCAATTTTGTATTTCCTCAGGCCTGATTGGACGGTTTTGCAAGATTTGCAGGTGATTTATGATTTTCATTTCAAATTAGGATTTTGTTGAGAAATAATCTTCAAAAAAATCATTTTTTTATTTGAAAACGAATTCAAATGCGCATAATAATCATTAATTTTTTTGATTTTTTTGAGTAATCGGAAAGAAACAGGAATGTTCTATATTGATTTATATGATTTCATTTTTTTTAGGAATTTCGTAATGAAATTCCATCGTTTCAGCCAATAAAACAGCAAAAAACGTCTCTTTTTTTGCCGTTCATTTTCATAATTTCGACAAAATAAGTTCCTTCTTGATTCTCAAGTGTATTTAATTTTTTTTTCTTGAATTTTTTTAAAAATTTTTATAAAAACACCGTCTTTTTTTGGAGTTAAATTTCTCATTTTATGCAGAAAAAAAGGGTGTAAAATAGCCCCTTTCCGAGGAATTTTTTTATTTTTTTGTGTTTTGTAAAAAAATTTGTACTTCAATTTTTTTTATATTTTTCAAATTTTTATGTTAGAAAAAAATCAGAAAAAAAGCGAAATTTTCTACATTCTACGCCTCATTTCCGAAAAAAATGTACTGGAATTTTTGAGTTTTTTTCGTTAGTGAAGTCAAGAAAAACAGCGGAAAATGGCTTTTTTTCGAATTTCAATGCCTTATTTTATAAAAAAATTGTTCATAAGTAGCTTTTTTTAGGATTTCGAATAATTTAGTTTCAAAAAAAGGTTATTTGATTCTCCTAAAAAGTTCTGTTTCCTATTTATTAATTTTTGAATTTTTTTCATCCAATTTTCCCAGGTTTTGGGGCGAAGCGGCGGTCCAAGCCTTTTATTCGGTTTCCTGCTGTACCGGAGGCCTCGTAACGATCAGCAGTTATAATCGTTTCCATAATAATGTTTTCAAGTTCGTTTTTAGAGGTTTTTCAAACATAAGTCTCTACAAAGATTGTGAAAAATTTAGGAAACGATGAGAAAAAAATGATTTAAAAAAATAGTGAGACTTCTGCGCTCCATGGCCAATTTTGCGGAAAAAAATGGAACACTGGATTTTTTTCCTTTACTGGGTTTTATTGACTTTTTTTGATTTATTCTCTTGTTTTTTTGGTTGGAGTGAAATTGGAATTTGAAAATTATTAAATACGGAAAGTTTAGAGACATCTGGCTAGTGATAGCGGTTGATGTGATCGTCTCACTGATCGGCTGCGTTTTGACTTTTTCGGCCATCGGATTCACTTGTTTCGAGTTTTCCATCGCTTTGGACAAGTTCCGAATCAGGGGTGAGGATAAGAAATGGTCAAAGAAGTTTTCTAAAAAATGCAGGAAAAATATGAATAAAACAGAGTTTCTCCTGTTCAATTTGCTACATTCAGGCTCATGAAAATCAGTGTCAGATTTATTTTCTGATTTTATTTCGTTTAAATAAGTTTCAAAGCTGTTCCAACTTATCAAGGACTTGAAAATTATGTGTGTAACATTTGAAAAAAAAAGATAAAAGCTCACAAAATCAACGATTATTCGGCAAAAGAAAGCAAAAGTATAATAATGACCTGGAAAAAAATGAGAAGTATTTTGAAGAATCAAATATTCAAGAAATCCGAAAAAAATTCAGCTTAATAGTGGTTGAAAGAGAGATGAAGCGAGAAAAAAATAATAAAATATTATTCTCCTGATTTTTCCAAAGATAAACCATCAAAAGAAAGCTATAAAAAAACGAAGGTAAAATTAGGTGTTTTTATGAAAATTTGATAAAAGTTGAAAAGTTTTTTTTAAAGTTTACCTACCTTTTTTAATGTTTTTAAAGATTTTTTTTTCATTTTTCGGAGTCAGTTTGCTTTCAAGAATTTTTTTTCAAGTTTTTTTGTTTCGAAACTTTTTTTTTCTAGATTTCAATTCACTTCATCATTCGCAGCACTTTTCCATCCTTTTCAATGCTAATAAAGTCCCAAGTTTCAATGTCTTCCAGACGGATTCCACTTGGTTTTCGTCTTCTTGGCGGAAGCCTTGGCCGGCGTTCCCGTGGCGCCTTTATACGCCTGCATGTTCTTCATCATGGTCCTTCTAGTCGTTCATAGTACTCAGATGTTTGTGGTGGGTTCCCAAATTATCTAACAGGTAAAATGAGCAACCTCAGGTGGATGCCATAGTATCCTCCTTGTGTGACGAGTTCCCGGAAAGGTTACGTCGGAACAGAAGACACGTCCTGACGACCGTCTGCGCCGTTTTCATACTTCTGAGCATTCCGTTTTGCTTGTCGGTATGGTTTCTGTCATGCCACTCCTAAAGGGGCCACTATTTTTGCTCCTTATGTGGCCAAAAAGGTCTAAACCCTGAAGTGGCCACTAAACATTTTTGCAGTGGTGACTTTCTGGAAAATTTTATAGTGGCCACTATGGGGTTTTGACGTTTTAGGGGCCACTATAGTAGTCAAATTAGTGGCCACTATAGGGTTTTACGTTTTAGTGGCCACTATAGAGGTTTAAGTGCTACTACTAGACTACTGAAAATTTTAGTGGCCACTCTAGGGGTCAATGGATCAACATAACTGGTCCAATCTGTTTTTTTTTTTTAAATTATCAGAGTTACTGGAAGGAATATTGGATTGAAAACTACTGAAGTGGTCACTAAAACGGAAAATAGTGGCCACCTTAGAGGTGGGTTTAGTGGCCACTTTAGTGTCCTCTCCAAGTATTCCTTGGCGAGCCTATATAGTGGCTACTAAAAGTTTTCGCAATAACGCGAAAATTCAAAATTTTTGGTTGTGAAATTCCCAAATAATCAAACACGCATGTGGCTCCTCGAAAGTTGCGTCCGACCATGAAACGAGTTTCGCGCGAAATTTGAAAAATTTTGGCGTAAGAAGAATTTATTTGAGCCGCAGCGCGACCGCCTTGCGCTAAGCCATTTCAAATGCGCCCAGAAATTCTTTGAAAAGCTCAAAAATATCGAGAAAAGCTTTAGTATGAGGAACGCCAGAGTGACCCCTAAAGACGCAACATTAGGGACATTTCAAGGGACCAAAGCTTTGCAGGCTTATATGACATTCCCTTAACACCTTTAGGGACCACTTGAATTTTACCCCTATAGAGAATTCTATTTTGTCTCCTGTTGAGAATGCCTTTTTCCTCCTAACCCCTCTAGGGATCACTCTGCCCTTTCAAAGCGTTTCTCTTTGGGAGTCACAATTAATTTCTCGTCTCTTGAAGGCCGGACTGTACTGGATGGAGCTTCTGGCCCATTTCGTCCTCACGTGGCCCTTGGTGGTGGTCGCCTTCTTGGAATGCATGGCCATCAGTTGGGTCTACGGCGTGGATAACCTTTTGGACAACGTGAAATGGATCACTGGGAGTTATCCGCCTTGCTACATGTTTTGGAAGATTCTGTGGAAGTTCATCTGTCCCATGGTTTTCTTGGTGGGTTCGTCTTGGTTTGGAGAGTTATGTAGCATCAGTTATTTGAGGATAGTTCAGAGTTCATCGGGTAAAAAAACTTATTATTTCTTGTTTCCTGTTCAGAGAAAAAAATTGGTTTATAGGCTTTTTTTGAACTTCTAACGAGAGAGCTCTTTGTCAAACTTTGAAAAAAGCCCTAAAGTGAGAGAGTATTGAAAACGAGGAGAGTGATAGGCAACAAAAACGCTTCTCATTACTCGATTTTTTTGTAAAATTTGTTTTGAATGCAGAAAGAAACAAGGAATTTTTTTATTAAGTCGAACTTTGTTCAATTTCTTTTTAGACTGAATGATAATTTTTTTGAGAAAGCTTCGAAATTATCAATTGAAGAAGTACTGAAAGAAACTTAATTTAAGAGTCTGAAAAAAATTAATTTTTTTGGAAGTTTGAAAAAAAGACTCGAAAAAAAGCTTTTTCTTTTATGATGATGATTATGGTACTGTTTGAACAATTTTGCAAAGCTATTTCATGTAAATTTGATGATTTTTTTATGGAAATGAAACGAAAAATAGAATTAAATTCGAAATAAAAAAACAGTGCAAGCTCAATTTTAAAAAATTCACTTCATTTTTTTAAAAAAAGCTTCAAATGCTCCAAAATTCAAAGTTTTTCTTTCCAGTCGATCCTCTCATTCCTCTGGCTCGAATGGCACGCAATAGCCTACGAATCCTACGTTTTCCCGTATTGGTCGGTGATTTTGGGCTGGGTCGTCGGGGCGATCCCCTTGATTTTCGTGCCCATCGTCGGAATTTGGGAGTTTTGCACCGCCAAGGGGAACATGTCGCAGGTTTCACAAATTGTGGAGAAAATCGAAATACCTTAATATTCTATAGAAATGGCAAAATGTACTGAATCCGGACGACGCCTGGGGTCCAGCCCTCGCCATCCATCGAGCCGAACAGTTCCCGCTCCAGATTCCTGAGGCTCGACGGCTCCTTCTGCCTCCGGAAGTTGAGCTTCCTGGTTCGGGGCCGGTCAGTGGTTTTTTGTCATTTCTAGAAAAATGAGCCAGTCTGATCAGAATAAGTTCAGGTGACAAAAAAATAAGAAAAAAAATCAGAGTTTGAAAAAAAATCTTCTAAATGGAGTAGTTTGAACTTTTGCGCCCCACGGATAACTTTCAAAAAAACTGAATGCTCTCAGACCTTGGTAACGCGAATCGGACGCGAATCGGACGTGTCGGGGCATTTCTAGTGACCACTTTAGTAGCCTCAGAACTCTTAAGGGATCCCTAGAATCGCCCAGAAACGTCCGGAGCACGTCCGTTTCGCGTTACCAATGCCCGAGCTCTTTGAACATTTCTGAACCTTTTTAAGTGACCCCTTTAGCGGCTCCGGCACCCTTAAGTGATCCCTAGAGTGGCGTCCGCTTCGCGTTACCGAGGTCCAAGTACTCGTATTTTCCAGCAAACAGAAAGACATGATTAAAATTTCGTAAAATCAAGAAAATCAAATTTTTCAGCTTATTCACTAGGTTTCTGAAAGAGTATTCCAAAATCATCATTTTTATTTTGGTTGGCACCATTTTTCACCTTTTTTTGGCATAAATATGCTCAAAAAATAAAATCATAGGCCTTTCCAAACGCTTTTAGGGTAGAAAAAAACCAGGCAATCGAGAAATTTGTTATTTTCTCAGCTTTTTTTAAAATTTTCTTCACTTAAATTTTTTTCCCCCTGAAATTCCGAAAAAAAGAAAAAAAGCTCGTTTTTTTGTTGCTCCATTTCAAGAATTGAAAAAAAGTTTTAACTCGAATCGTGATTTTTTTCAAAATTTAAGCTTGAGTTAGCGAAGTCCCTATAATTACTTTCAGTTTCTAAAACTGCTTATAAATATTTTTTAAAGCTTTGCCATTCGTTAAAGTCATCATACATGTATCTTTTTCTTTCGAAAATTGAGGGTTTTTAGGCTGATACTTGAGTTCTTCATACAGTTTATAAGGTGATTTAAGAAAGCTTAGAAATTCTTAAACGCGATGGCCTCTTAAGTTTGAAATTTCATAAATCTAGCTAAAAAAAGCAAATTTCTATCAGTTTTTTGGAAATTTGGCAGTTTTCAGAACGAAGACGAACTGGACCCGCATGGATTCATTTCTGCCGGTGCAGAAGATGGAACTTCAAGGTCTGGAAGAAATCGACGAAAGCCGTGGCCGCCAGGAGCATCGCCAACACGGTCAACAGCCTCCCCAAGTTCGAACGAGAAACTGCGATTTAATCTATTTTTTTCTGTGTTTTTTTGAAGCTTCTGAAGCATGCTGTGCATGATTTTTCTTTTTTGAGTTTCGATTTTTTTGAATTTCGCTTTCAGTTACCCAAAAATCGAGGTCCAATCATTTTTCCTCATAGTTTTATGTCTTTTGAAGCTCTTTCCCCATTATTTTGCCCACTTTCATTCCTAACTTCTTTTTTTTTACAATTTTTCGTCTTTCTTCTAACTTATTCATCTCAAAAAACTTCCTCGTCTTTAAAATTCCTACCCTTTTTCGAGATTCCCAGTGCAATTTCTCCCATTTTTGCCTTTTTTCAATCAAATATGGTGCTTTATGAATAATTCCATAATAACGCGATTTCAATATCAGGTCTCTCTATATCATAATTGCTCACTAACAGTATTTCCCGACCATTTTCAGTATTTCCGGCCAGTTCTCGCGATTCTTTCAGTTACGAAAATTGCCATCTCTGGTGCTTTTTTTCTGTTTTTATTACATGTACTTGTTGTTGCATATTTCTTATTTTATTATAATAATATGTATAGAATAAATTTTTTTGGAAATTTCCATTGGATTTTTGTAGCTTTCAAGAACGGTTCTTTCAGCCTGTATTTTTTTCCGGGAAATGAAAAGGAAAAAAAGCTTCAGAGAAGAAAAAAATATATTTAGATGGCTGTTGAAACGTTGAATAAAGAATGGACGACGCTCAACGATGATTTTTCATAAAATGGAGGTGAGATTTTTTTAATGAGTTGGTTTCTGAAAAAAAGGTTCCCGAAAGATATAGCAATAAAGTGAAATAAAATAACGGTTTCAAAAAAATTTATGAGTCCCTTTCCAAAATTTAACCGGAAGCACTTTTCTCTATTCGAAAAGTGATTGGGAAAATTTTTAGTGGACACTATAGAGGCTCGCCAAGGAGTACTTGGAGAGGACACTAAAATGGCCACTAAACCCACCTCTATAGTGGCCACTTCAGTAGTTTTTCATCCAGTATTCCTTCCAGTAACTCTGATAATTTAAAAAAAAAACAGATTGGACCAGTTATATTGATCCATCGACCCCTAAAGTGGCCTCTAAAAACTTTCCCAGTAATTAATCGAAAAGAAACGCGTTTTTAAGAACTCAGGAACACCTGAGTGGTCCCTTTAGTGGTTAGGTAGAGATAGCTCCTTTAGGGGTTCAGAACTTGTACTATCAGCTCCCTAGAGAATCCACTAACATCTTCTCCTTTAGGGGCCACTAGCATGCTTCCCTAGAGAAGCCACTTATTGAAATCTCTACAGCGGTCGTTTTTGCAAACTTTAGTAGCGAATTAATGGAGAGATAAGGTGGCAATTAAAGAGGAGCCATAGGTTGTCCCTAGAGGGACCACCTAATTTGTTTTGTAATTGAGTAAATTATTCGGAAGTTGCTCTTTTTGAGAACTATATAATCTGAATAAATGAATTGTTTGATTATTTAGAGGTAGATTATTTTTAAAAAAAAAATTTCAATCATCACTTTTTTCAGAAAATCCACGATGAATACCTCGCAAAGATGCGAGAAATCTCCAATCTGCAGGAATCCTGCCAGAAAGCCCTCAAACACCACAATTATCTGATGAAAAACGTCAAGGATTTCGTCAAAAAGTCGGTTTTTTCAAGGATTTCGATGTTATTTATTTAAATTATGATTTTTGGTTCATTTTTTGTTTTAATTGGTTCTTGAAACTCTCTGCTAAATTTAGACCAAAAATTAGAAAATAACCCAAATCATGCCGAAAAAATTCTTGGATTCCCGCGATGAAGTCAGTAGTATGAAAAACAAGAATAGTTGTTTTTCGAAGAAATTCGCGTCATTCCAGAGCGGAGGAGGAAGCCTCAACAAGTGAGGAAAGAAAAAAGGAAGTGGGAAAAGTGAAGGAAGAAATGGAAGTGTCGCGAATCAAGCTCCGCGACATGCAAGCCGAGCTGCCGGCTCAAAACAACGGATTCTATCTCAATCTCATCCTCGGTTCGTTTATTCTTCGATTATATTTCAATAGACGAGATAATTTGAATTTTGAAGTGTTCAGAAGGTTAAAAAAATTGAAAAAAACTCACCTGGAATATTTTTTTGAAATTCAATCTTGATTCCAAGTGAGTTCATTTCGGAAAAATTTTAATTCACCAGAAAAACTGTTGTTGAAATGTAATAGAAACTCTTCATGAACCTTTTTGATTGAAAGAAATCCTCAGAAACCATTATTTTTTTCACTGAAAAAAAGCTCAAAAATTCCAATTTAGTTGAAAATCTTCTTAAATTTCTACAATAAAGTATTCGGAAGTGTCCCTCATTCTTTTTCCAATAGATTTCCAGCTTCTCTACTAAAATTTGCAATACAAACGAGCTCAGGACTTTTTTTTTAATTTAAAAGACCACTCAGAACGAAATTTGAAAAATTCAGCATATTTTGCGTTCATTTGCGCTCTATGGATAAGGTTGCGAAACATTTATTTTGGATTTTTTTTTTTTCCTCTTTTTTGGTTTTTAGAGAGTTTTTCGTAATTTTCTTTGTCTGAGTAATTTTGCTAATGGTGGTTTGAAGCTTCTAGACGGATTAGAAGTGATTTTACGCTGATCAGTGTATTTTTTGAAGTAAAACTTTGCAATTTCCGACTGTTGTGTACTTCTTTCTGATTAACGAAACTTGAGATTATATTCACAAAAAAAAAACCTGATTCCAGAAGGTTTTTACTGTCAAAACTTGGAAGGAAACATGGTTTTGACGAGATTTTGATTCAAATTTTTTTCGCCTGTAGAATTTTTAAGTTCAATTTTAATTTTTTTGTTCAGGGCAATTTGTTTGAAAAACTTCATATTTTTTTCATAGTTTTTTTAAATTTTTTTACAGATCTTTCTATAAATTTTAAAATTTCAGGATCAAATTTGAACGTTTCTCTGTTGACCAAACATGAGCGGTTCAACTATAAGAAGGTTTTTCTATATTTTTCCAAATTTCATTCATGAATTTTTTGAGGAGTACGAAGATTTCAAGTGGAACATCACCATTGCGATTGCCGTTTTGACGATTATTGCCTATTTTTTTTCTCTCCGAGTTGTCGATTCGATTCTTTGCTTCTTGTTGGTTTGGTTAGTTTTTTGATAGAATAGTTCAGATTGAAATGGATATTTTTCAGGTATTATTGTACATTGACGATCCGGGAAGCGGTTTTGAGGGTTAACGGGTCAAGGTGAAAATTGAATAATGATTAATTGAAGATTTCTGGTTTTTTTAAAAATTTAAAGTTACATCTTTGAACTATTTCTGACATAAGAAAAATTGAAAAAGATTTTTTTGAGGAGTCTAGTAAAAGTCACATAAAAATGATTTTTAACAATTTTCAACTTTTTTTCAATTTTTTTCTTTTTTTCCGTCAAAAAGCTTATCAAACTTCATGGAAAGTTTTTTGAAATTGGAAACTCTGGTTTTAAAGGATAAAAGGCTGGTGGATGACGCATCACTACTTATCCTGCGCCCTGCCTGGAATCATTCTGACCTGGAGGGACGGCGACTGCTATCAAATGTTCCGGATGCGACTTTTGCTCTTCATCTTCTACATCAGCCTCGTCCAGTTGGCTCAGGTGCGAATAATATTAGCGAATAGGTCCTTTCGCTGCATAATAATTAGTTAGACGCAAGATGAAAATGCAGTAGAATAACGAGTAGATTCTGGCCGGAGTAAGTGAGGAATTAAAGCGATACGTGTAGAGGGGAATTTCGGATATTATCAAGTTTAACTCTCTTAGAATCAGTGGAGACCTTAAAATCTAGTCTAGAATTTGATGTATTCTCTGATTTGAAAAACTTTTGGTGACCACTATAGTAGTCAAATTAGTGGCCACTTAAGGGGTTTAAAATTAGCAGCTGCTATAGAGGTCTAAGTGCTACCACTAGACCACAAAAAGTTTTAGTGGCCACTTAAGGGGTTAACGGATCATCATAACTGGTCCAATCTGTTTGTTTTAAAATTATCAAAGTTACCGGAAGGAATACTGGATGAAAAACTACTGAAGTGGCCACTAAATAGAGAACCACTATTGTGGCCACTAAAACGGAAAATAGTGGCCATTAAAACGGAAAACAGTGGCCACTATAGAGGTGGGTTTAGTGGCCACTTTAGTGTCCTCTCTAAATAGTGTATCGAGCCTCTATAGTGGCCACTAAAAAAATTTTTTTCCAGTAAGAGATTAGTTTTGAAAATAAATATTTAAAAAAACTGAACGAAAGAGGTAACTTGGATTGCCAAATAAAAGATGGTTTGGTCGATTTGAATGGATGTTTTTCCGATTCGGCGCTTGAGAAATTTGAAAGGAAAAAAACTAGGCTTAAGAAATTCTTTAAGAATACTTATAGCCCATTCCACGTGCTTTTTTTCATGAGCATTTTTTTGGTTTTTTTGCAATCTTATGGAGCCTTTTTCTGCATTTTTTTTTTTTGTAAGTTTTTAAGTTGTAAAAAAATTTTTTTCGGGTGGATTTTTACCGAATAGACCTTTTTTGTTTCAGAACCAGTACCAGTCCGGAACACTGAGACGACTTCACTCGTTGGGCGAAGGCCATCAGATGGACATCACCATCGAAGGATTCACGAGTTGGCAGTTCAAAGGCCTCACCTTCCTTCTGCCCTTCTTGATGTCCGGATATGTCCGTTTTTTGGATTATTTTGTCAATAATTTCTAGAAGAATTATTTTTTTTTCGACATCGCAGATATGGTCCAAACTTCTGTGGTAGGTGTCTTCGGGGAGATTTCTCGAAAACGTGTAAAATTATCTGTTAAGCGCCACACTTAAAAATTCCAGAGTGGTTCCTATAGGGGTTATAGGGAAAAAAGCCTTTATAGAGGCAGGAAAAACGGTCCCTATAGAGGTAAAATCACGGTGATCTTTATAGGGACCTAGGGTCTGACCTCTTAGCTCCTAAGGCTCAAGTGGACCCTAAAGTGGTCTTTTAAATCAAAAAATGCTTAGTTATCCATTTTTCCCATAGCTTTAGAGTTCAAAAAAAAATCGACTAGCATGTCCCCTATAGGGACCACTTTTGCAAGCTTCAGTGGCCCCTATAGGGTTTGGTAAGGCGGTCCTAGAGGGAATCCGGCTCAAAAAACACCCCCTCTAGGGACCACTCTGCAGATTCTCAGGAGGGTTATGAGAAATAGCCCGTCGAAATCGGAAAAAAAGCTTAAAAATCTGATTTTAACTCTCTTAAACCTTCACTAAGTTATGAGAAAGACAAGAAAGAAACTTTTTTACAAAAAAACCCGAGAAGAATTCGTTTTTGAAAATTTTCTTCACATTTTCGACAGGCCATTTCTCAGCGGTTAGCAGATATTTTTTTTGTTTTCAAATACACATACCTGAGACTACCTAACACGGAATTTTGGACCATATCTGTCATTGTTCAATCACCCTCGTCAGACTTCCCATTGAAAAAAAAATCAATCCGGTTTCAAATAAGATTTGTGAAACCGAAAAACAATACTATTTGTGAAATTTCCCGATTTTCCAGCTTTTCCAACTGTACCTCGTTTATTCGCTCTACAAGGCCTACATTAGCGATTCGTGTGACGGCGAGTGGCAGGTTGGTTCTTTTTCAATTTAATGAGAGACATTTGAGATTTGTTGCAAGTTTTTTCGTTAGAAAGACGTATTTTAAACTCAAAAAAGGGTTTCATAAAGTTCAAGTCGATAAAAAAGGATCTTGCTGAGAAAACTTTTAGTGCCCACTATAGAGGCTTTCCAAGGACTACTTGAAGTGGACACTAAAGGTGGCCACCTCTATAGAGGCCACTATTTGTTTATTAGTAGCAACTTTAGTAGTTTGTCATCTTGTAGTACCACTTAGAACTCTACAGTGGTCACTAATTTTCAACCCCTAAAGTGGCCACTAAAATGTCAAAACACTATAGTGGCCACTAAAATGTTTCCCAGTGAGTCAATTTGAAAGCCCTCGGGTCCCCATGTAAAATTATAAACTCCTAGAAAAGTCTTAATGAAGACTTGACGTCATTTAGATAATACAGGTCTCAAAAAACTTATAAAATCTGTAGGTCTGGGCGATGTGCTTGTTGTTCGGCGTGATCGCCCTGGGCAACATCTACACGACGTCGCTGGTGATCCTGAAGAAGCTGCGGACCGAGGCGGCCGCCTATCCGAGGATCCTGGCCCTCACCCGCAAGTACAACTCCCGCACCATCATGAACAACGTCAGCGAGGACCATCATAAGAATCACTAGTTTTTCAGGGATTTATCGTTTTCTTGCTTTTGAAAGGTTGAAAATCGTTTTTGAAAAGTCCTAGGAGTAGACGTTGTAGTGTAATCTGAAATGAAGGGGGAAAAGTAATTTTGAAACTTGGAAGGTTGAAAATAGTTCTTCAAAGGAAAACTATTTATTCAATGATTTTTGTCATTTTTATCGTTTTTCTTGTGTTTGAAAGATAATAAAGTGGTCCGTAGGAAGCCCTAAAAATTTTCAAAAGAATGGGAGAAAAAATAGCCACCTTTGGTTTGTGTTTTCGCGCTCCATGGATAATTTTTCAAAAATGTAGCCGTGAGTCATTTATTCACAAACAGACCTTCAACACGTGGAATTTTCAGGTTTTTATTTTTCCCGATTGAGTCGTTAGTTTTGAAAAAGCTTCGAATAGTTTTGAAGAAGCCGAGAATTTAATTCTCTGGTTGAGTAAGAATAGCCGCCGAAAACGAAAACTTGTGCGCTCCAATGCTAAATTTGAAATTTTTGAGGGAATGAACCATTGAAAAGCCGAAATTCTGAAAAAAAAAATCTTCCAAGTTCTCAAAATCCTCTGGTTCTCCTTATAAAAATTGCTTTTTTCTTCTTTAAGTTTTTTTTAGAGAACCTTATATAAATATATAATTTTGCAAAAACGTGAAAAAATAGCTGCCATGAGCCGAAACTTATGCGCTCCAAGGGTAATATTGAATTTTTTTGATTTTTTCATAAATTTCGAATTAAAATATCAGGCAAAAAAACTTGAAATTTTCCTGATTTATCCGTGGAGCGCAAAGGTTTCAAATTTGGCGGCTATTTTTTCACTCTACAGTTGGATTGAATTAAACTTCTACGACATATTTCTCTTTGATAACTTGTGTTTTTCTTCACCTTTTCCAGTTTCCTTTTTATTCGGATAGTTAGTTGATGAATGTACTTGAAAAATTTCCCCAATCTAATCAAATCTTTGTGATTTTTGCTTTTATTCTAAGTCATTTCATAGATAAAATTGCTCAGTTTTCCTCACGACCAGTTTCTTGCTGCCTTCAGCTTCTTCCTAAGCGTTTTTCATTCATTTTTCTTGTCATATTTGCATTTCTACTACTTCTTCAGACATTATGGATCAATTTATCTTGCATGCCTTATATTTTTCCCCAGTCGCAATTATTTCTTGACGTGTTTTTTTCGGCTAGGATTGTATTATATGGGTTTACTTTTTTTCATATTTTTGATACGAAGAAAAATAAATCTGTTCTGTAGATTCTTCAATTTGATACCGGTTCAGGTTGATTATTCATTTTTGTAATGATACTGTGATCTCAAAATGAAAAATTGGAAATTTACGTCATGTATCAGCCTGTCGTGGTGTATGCACCAATGCGTCGAACTTGACGAAATTTTCAGAAAAAACTTTTGGTTTTTTTATTTTATTTTTTTATTGAGTTTAAAAGTATAACCATTAGGATTTTAACAAGATAACTTTGAAATGATATCGAAAAAAATTCAAATTCTCGAATATCCGCAGGCTTGGCGTAGTGCATTGAAACCAATTTGTTCGATAAGGCGTTTTTCTCCTGAAAATTTTTTAAAAACATTTTTGGATAGAAGTGTTCATTTAAAGAGCTACGAAAGATTTCAGGTCGAATTATTGGATTTCAAGGAAAAAATGGATCGAATTGGATAATTTAAGTCAACTGAAAGGCTCGGAAAATGAGGTTTGGGTTTTTTTTGCATTTTCATGAGTATGTCGCTAAATTAAAATTTTGAAACTTACTGGAAGAGGTTTTTCCATTGATTTGAGCCATTTGGGACGAAGTTCTGGGGTCAAAATGTGGGCAATATGTATTGGAGCGAATCTGAAACAGTTTTAGCTCTTACTATTGAAATAATTTTTTGTTTTCTTCACTTTTTCAATCTATAATCATTTTCATTTTTCTGTTCGTTTGTAGGTTCGAAAATTAAGGCGAATACTACCCTAGAGTGGTGACTAACTGAAACTCCTAGAGTGACCACTTTTGCAAGCTTTAATGCGGCTAAAAATGGAGGTAAGGTGATCTCTAAAGGGGAACTTTCAAGGGTTTTTAAGGTCACCCCTCTAGAGACCACTCTGGCGTTCTTCAGTATTTATTCTGTATCGTGTTAGGACCCTTTTTTCGATGGTTCAGGCCGGCCATGAAAATTTTAGGAGTTCCGGGGGGAAATTCCTACTTTTTTAGTTGAATTTGATGAATTTTAATAGAATCTTCTTTGTTTTTGAATTTTAATGATTTTTATAGTTATGTTACTGTATATTTAATTAACTAGAAATCATACCTCAACGCAAGATTTTCATCCGAAGTTTCCACGATAGTGACGTTGGCCTTTTTCCAAACGTAGGCCGTATGAACGTCCTCGAGGCCCAAATCCACGTGTTTGTCTCGATTTTCTTCTAACATTTGCACCGTTTTGACGAATCTTCAAATTTTTTTCCATGATCATAGGATTTTTTTCCAGTTAAAAAGATTTTTTTCTCTAGGGTTTGGTCTCAAATTTTAGTGATATTTCTTAAATACTCAATTCGCTAGATTCAACTTCTCTTTTTGATTTTGAAGATAAGTTGAAAAATTGACGAAAAAAAGATTTTTCGGGATGGTTTTTTTAAAGATATATCCGGTTTTATTTCCTCTCAAATATTTTTTTAAAGTTGCATTAAGATTTCTGTAAAAATACAAAAACCCTCAGATTCAACGGCTCGTTTTGATTTTGAAGTTTCAAAACCGGCCGAAAAAAACCTTCGGAAAAAAAGTTAGAGGCGCTCAAATTTGAAAAAAAAAGCTGATCAAGCTTTTCCCATTTATAAAAAAATAAAGCTGGTCTCCAAAAAAACGATTTGAAAAATAATTTTGTCTAAATTTTTTTAACTTTTTTTGATAAAATTCAGCGAACAATCCTGTAATTAGGCCATTTTTCTGTCCTTTTTGCGCCGATAACTTTCATCAATGATCATTTTTCAAACTTTCCTACCACGGTTTCAGAATCTTCGTTGAAAACTGTCTTTAGTGAGTTCGATTTTTGAAAGATTCGTATTGAGCAAGACAAAAAAATATTACAAGCTTTTGTTGTTATTTTACTTTACTGTTTCCACTTTCAATCTGAATATTTTTATATATATATTCGATCAGCAACTGAAGCGAGAAATAAAATTAGTTGTTTTTTCTGCTTTTTAAAAGCCAACCTTCTCAAACTTTCCCTTGTGAAGACATAGCCGGCTCCGCCGGAATGATATTCCAATCCTTTGATATGACTTCCCAAACGCATTTTATGACCCAATGCGACGGGATCATCGGGAGAATATTTCTTGAAAATCATCACTTTATTTATATTTTTGAATGGGAAAAAAACGGACTGCAAGAAGTTCCTTCAAATGTTCCATTATAATGTAGGTGTCGTCGTCGACTTTCATGAACCAATCGAAATTGTTCTGAACTTTGCAAACTCATAGGCAAAGTCGGAAAGGACCCTCTAAGGCTCCATAGAAATGTTCCTTTTAGGGTGATGAAGGCTTTCTTTTTGCTGCCTTTTTGCTCCATTTTCTCAGCCCTTATGCACCATTTTTTCTGCCTTTCCTTTTCTCCACCATTTCTGGAACTTTTGAAACCTTAGAAAAATTGAAGGCTCGATAAAGGGACTCTCTTTGCTGCCTTTTCTGTTGCCTTTCTGCGGCCTTTTTTGAGCCTCTCCCTTTTAGCGGCCATTATCCATCATTCCGACTTTGCCCTGAGTTTGATCAAAAATGGACCAACTTTGAGAAAAACTAGTTAAACACTAGGTTCATCTTTTAGCAACCTTCTAACAAAAATATTTTCAGTTTTCTTGAATCAGAACCGTTTTTCCTTAAATTGTGGGAAAATTGACTAATTTTTCTACTAACCATGTTATTTTACGTATTAGAGTGAAATAAATATTCAAATATTCAATATTCAACTTCTTATAAAAAGATAAATCTTCTAGCGCTTTTTAAACAGAACAAATTTTTAATTTTTCTTGAACCATATGTTGTGGGAAAAATTAGTGAAATTGAGGGTTTTGAAATATTTTGAACACCTGTTTTAGCTCTAATCAAGTCATTGAAGTTCTGAAAAATTTTGTATTTTACTCGAAATAGTAAAGTGGCAAAAAGACATTTTTCCTTTTTCGAACAAATATCAACCAAAAGTTCTTCATATTTTGCAATTTCGAACCTCTAAAAAAAACTCAAAAGCCGTTGCGAATGACTATGCCTCAAAATGATCACATTTTCGAGAAAAACGAACCAAATACCCGTCATGTAGCTTAAATAATCCATTTCTCGTCTTCAACCACAAATTTTCCGCATATTCGGATGTCAAACTCGGCGAGGCTTTTATCAGAAGCGTCGGAATGCCTTTCTTTTGGACCGAACTGCCGAAAAGTAGCTTGTCGCACCGTTTCCCCCATGTTTCCTGGAGAATACTGTAGGGTTACTGTAGTTTCAACAAGAAATAAAACCTGTACGGCTTTGACTTTTTCGAAGTTGACTGTGGATGTCATGACCAAAGCAGAGAAGTCGGGGCGATAAAGGGCATTTTGAGGAATCGGTCGTTGAAGGGATTACTGTAACGGTGAGATAAGTTGGAGAAGAGGATGAGATGTGTCAATACTTTACAGCAAAGTTTAAATTATCATATTCAGATAAATTCAGTGCCCGAAGCAGGAAAGTTCTGTTATTTTAATGGCTTTCCAAAAAATCGATTTCAAGGCTTCTTCACATCATTAGATAATTAAATCATCGGACACAAATGAAGAAGACTTTTAATTTCTGTTTACTCGTTATAATTCAAAAACCTTCAAAAAATGAGCGAGACTGAGAGATCAACTGCGGCCGGAGAGACGCCAGAGAAACGATGGGAAAACTCGTTCTCTGGCGTCTCTTCAGAGTCTAGAGGCCGCTTTTGATCTCTTTTTTTGCTCTTTTCATACAAGATTATACCTAGTTTAACTACGAGAAAAAGCTCGAAGATATTCGAGAGAAAAAGAGAAAATCCGTTTTTCTGGAGTCTCTTCAGGCCGCTGTTGATCTCTCTTCTGTTTCTCTCTTTAACAAGGTTTTTTGGGACAAATTTCAGAGTGATAAACATGTTTCTCAAGCCATACTGGTCTCTTATCACTGCGGTACAATCAAAAATTTAAAAAAAAATAGCAAAAGGGAGAGATCAACTGTGGTCTGAAGAGACGCCAGAAAACGTTAGTGTCCCTACTTCTCTAACGTCTCTCAGGCCACTGTTGTTCTCTCGTTTTTGAGTTTCCTTCCGAATTATATCATCTTTTTGTTCAAATTTATCAATTTTCAAGGTTTAATCAACCTGAGAAGTTTCGCCTGGTTCTTGAGAAATAAGGGTTCAAATAATGAGATCAGTCTATTTTAACAGATTTAGAGAGTTTTTTTCGATTTCAAGGCCTTTTTTTCTCCAAAAAAGGAAGTTTAACAGGTTTAGGCATCCAATATTTTCATTTGGTGATTCAACAAGTGTACTGGCTAATTTTCAGAAACCGCAAAGCAAAATGACATTCCCTGTAGGGCAGCTTCTCAGTCTCCATATGGACTTTTTAAATTTCAAAAAACTTCAAATCGTCCCGAAATTCGTGCCATAAACGGGCAAATGAAGATCTTAAAGGCATAGGGGCAGTAAAAAACGGTGTTTCAGTTCAAAGCAGTATTTTGTAGAGCTTTTCATTGCAAATCGAACGGTGAACTTGGAAACGTACAGAAATTCCTAGTTTTGGAGAAAAAATAGTTCAAAGTCGGAGAGAGGAAAGTTTGAGTTCCCGCGAAAAGGGCGCCTTGCAGTAAAGTTGCTCTATGGACAACAGGGTTCGCCATCTTCCGGATTTTCGCTTTTTTCTTCGTTTCTTTTAATTTTCAATTTTTTCTGTTGTCACCAGAGTTTTTTTCGTCACCAAAGCCTTCGATTCACGTATAATTTGCAAACTTTGTTCGCAAAAAAGCTTTTCTGGTGAAAAATGATGATTTTACACAGGTTTCGATTGGGATAGCGATTATTTGTGTTTTTTTTATTATCACTGTGTGTTTTCGGTTTTCTTAATCAATTTTTCAGAGAAGAAACCCTTAATTTGAAGCAGATAGCCGGTTATTTCATACAAAATGCGAGTCTAATGAGACGTCCGCAACATCGCGTGCACGGCTACTGTAAACAGTTGTCTGCATACCGATCCAAAGCTTTTTTCAAAATTAAAGGCGGGAAAGTGAAATCGCGTTTTTCTTCTAGAGTTGTCACATCTGTAATTTTTTGAGTACACCGTTGGATTCGCAAAGAAAAACTATATAAAATACTGCTTTCACCTGAAACCCCATTTTTTACTGCCCCTATGCCTTTAATAAGCCAGAGAGAAAGGGTTGGCTTAAAAAATGTTGAATTTTAGGTTTAAAGATAAGTTTCAACCCTAGGGAGATAGTATTAGTATAAGCTTTAGTTTCACAGAAGAAAAATTTAAAAATGGTCTTCCATTTTTGATACTTACCAAGTTCAGGCTCAACGGGATGATGTTGGTGACGGTAGCCGAGCAGACTGACGAACTTCGAGCCGACGGCCAGGCCGAACACGAAGAAGGCCCACTTGCGGACTGTCCGGGTACGCAATTTGCATCTTCTCCTTCGGAAGCACCAATTCTTCCAGTCGAAGCGCATTTTTTGTTAGAAATGAACTCGAGGGGAAAATATTGAAATGAAGGTCAGGACACGTGGGGATCACTGAAAATTTTGAAAATTAGTCCTTTCTTAAACGTGATTTTTTGAAGGGTTTCTAATCGAGTCAAAAAAGTTCGTTTTTGGTAAATTTCACGGCGTTTTTTCGACGACGCCCCGCCCACTTTTTCTTCGTAAAATGTCGTGTGTCGTGTGCATGCACTTTCGCGCAGAAAATTGCGATTATGTAGAGAAATTCAATTCCTTTTGAAGACCTCTGGCTATACGGCGGCATGCGCCTTTAATATGCCCTGTTTTTTACTCATTTAGAGCCGAAATCTATGTCGTTCCCACGTGGAAAAAAAGATGGATATTTTGGCTTTTAAAGTTATTCAAAAATTATTCAGCTTGAAAGTTCGAAAAAGTTTTTTTCATACCATATTTTATGAAAAATCTTCTTCTTTCCGTTTTTAATCTCTGAGGAATCTATATCGTGTTTTCAAAACTGAAAAACAGCTATGAATGAACTATTTCCTCTCTTTCTGCTTCAAAGATATATTTACAAGTTTTTTTCCAAGAAGGTTACTTTTTGTACGATTTTTAACCTTTGGACAGGTTTTTTGAAGATGTTTCCCGTTTCTGTGAAAGTTTTTTTAAGTTTCAGTTTGAGAAATTGAGGATTGTATACATTTTCAAAGTTTTATCCCTGTATTATGTGTAAATTTATTAACAAACCGAAATATTTTTTTCTATTTTTTTCATTGGAGATTTCATTTGAAGACTTTCCCGTTTCTTTAACTGGTTTTGATTTTTCAAATTGAGTAATTGATGGTTCAACTTTATCAAATGCTTTACTATGTATTATACTTTGATACTTTGATGGATTATATCTTCATTTTTCCTCGAAACTTTTCCAACCGAACAAATCCAGACCAGATCCTCAAATTATACACAAATAGCTAGTTTAATTGGATTACAAAAAACCGTTTCGCAGCCTCCGATTCAGAAAAAAAGTGAAGGACAAGAATCGCGTAGGAATTGGATTTCGTTTGTTTGCAAAGTGTCTCATCCTTTCCGATTGATTGTATCTTTTTTTATTAAAATGAATTTCCGATTTTCCAATGCTTTTTAGAGAATTTTTTTCTTCGTTTTCTTTTTGACCATTCCTAGCAAAAAAATTTTTCTTTTTTTTATCCTAATCTTTCCGAAAAATTTTTCGTTTTTCAGTTTATTCTGCCACAATTTTTCCGTGGCTTTTAAATTTTTGTAAAAATCTAGAAAATAAATCTGACAAAGCGAAAGTCCAAAAATGTTGGAAGTCTCGTTTTGTACATTTTCGTAGAGAAAAAAAGACGATTTTTTTGACATCTTTTAGACGTCATAACTCTACTAAGAAGGTCTGAAAGGCTTAATTTTTTTGAACCTTTCAGGATTAGGTTTTCTTGAAAAATTTTTAGGCCAAGAACTGTTTTAAACCTTGTGTTTTGGTGCCTCCGTATGATCGTAGGGTTTGTACATTCGTACAGATTTTTTCGAATTTTTCAAAAAAAAATTTTGAATTGAAAGTCTCCTTGTATAGATTCCAATCTACCGAGTAGGTTAAGAAAAAAATCTTTAAAAAAATCTCTACATTTTATTTTTTTATTCTTCAATTTTTTTTCCGTACCTGTCTGTAAGATTTAGAGATTTATCGAGTTTTGTTTTTCATATTTCAGTTGTTCTTTTTATTTCCAAGCTAAAACCCTTCTTTTATGGATCCTTACTTACCAAACTAGGTCAAGAAAAACCTCAGGATTCGTTTAAAAACCTCTTTTTTTCCAGTTTTTCGATTTCCAATTTTTCATGCTGAAAATCTCTTTTTAGAGATCTTTATCAACCCTACTAGGTCAAGAAAATCCTCAGGGTTCATTTGAAAAAGCCCCCTTTTTTTTGAATTTTTCCGAATTTAAATTTTTCTAATCATTCCCAAGCTGAAAACCTTCTCTTATAGATCTCAATCCACCAGACTAGGTCAAGAATAATCTCAGGATTCATAAAAAAAACCTCTCAAAGACGAAAAAAGAGGCGCGAAATCGGTTGGAACCAACCGCAAGGGAGGACGACAGGTGCACTTGAGCAAGGTCTTTTTCTCCTTTTTCTTCGTCGATTTCTACAAGAAATTGAATGTGTTCCCAACGGAATTAGTTGTGTGTGTGTCCTTGGCGTTTTTCTGTGTTATTAGTGCGGTTTTTGATGCTTTTATAGCGGAATTTTATGAATTTTGGTCAATCTTCTAGTAAAAATTGGAGAAAAAAGCGGTTTTTTTCAGTCGAAGTTTAGATGCAGTTTTTTTGATATTTTCGTTGTGAAATTCAATAAATTTTTGATTTATTTTGTATCTGAAAGATTTGTAAAAAAAGTGTCATTTTTCGTAATGAGAGGACAGATATTTTTGATGTTTTCGAGTCAATTTCAATAAATTTTTAGATTGATTTTTCATTTAAAAACTGTAAAAAGCGGCTTCTTTTGTAGTGAAAAAAATGGAAAAAATGGAATTTTGCTCAATTTTGATGCTATTATAGTAGAATTCTATATGAATTTCAATTATTTTCATATCTGGAAAGGTAAAAGAACGTTTTTTTTTCGTAGTAAAAAGGATTTTTAAGGCTTCTGGAGCGTAATTCAATTTCAATTTTCAATAAAAAGAAATTTGAGAAAGCATTTTTTTGGTCAAGTATTATTTTTGGAACAAGAATAAGGTTAATTTAAAAAAGTTTGGTTTTGGCCTGATTTTTCGGCTTTAAAAAACACAATTTTTGAAGAAAGTTGGGAGAAAAATCCATGAGTTTTCTGAGCTAAGACTTCTAGGGAAACTACGAAAAAAATAGAAAAAATGAATATTTTTCAAAAATGAGGTTCATTTTTCCTTCACCTTGTGCGCCCCATTTACAAATTTCCCGAAAATTTGAATCCTTCAGGTTTATTTATTATTTTTTTATCAAATGAAAATTATTTCCTATAATTCTCTAAATCACTTCTCTGTTTTTTTCTGAGCCTTTTGAGAATTTTCAGAGAATTTTTTCGTTGGCGCGCAAATGACCTTGAAAAAAAAGCCTCAACCCTTTCAAGACGATTTTTGAAGGAACTGTTTCTAAAGGCATTTTTTTCTTTTTCAAAGTTTTTTTCAACCGATTACTGAACGAGAAAATTGTACTTGAAATTGACTTTTTTCACGACAATCGCGACCCTTTTTTGTGTTGAAATGACTCATTTTTTCCCGCAATTCGTTTCTTTTGATAACATTTCCGTTATTCACAAAGAATTTTCCAACGATTTTAGCTTTTTACATTGAGTTTCACTTGATCGAGTATTTCGAATCAGAAAAAAGTATACTGCTTCGTTTTTTCTACTGGCTCTTCCGCATGCTTTTGTAAGTTTTAAAAAAATCTAGTGATCACTTTAGTGACGTAAGTACTTTTAAGGGATCCCTAGAACTAGTCAGGAACGAGCCCGTCTGATTTTCATTACCGAGGTCCGAGAATTGTACTGGGAAACGTTTTTCAGTCTCCTACTTGAATTTTTGATGAAACTTGGCTCATATAGACTTTGGGACCTCCTGATTTCAGAACAAGGAAAAAAAAATCCAATAAATAGATCTTGCTTCCAATTTTGGATGCTTCAAAGCTTGTAAAGCGAATAAATTGCGGTCAAAAAAGTGTTATTCGAGGATTTTTAAGTGTCACAACTCAGAAAAAAAATCTTGAGACCAGGGCGCCTGAAAGTACACTTCAGCTAACTTTCATTAAAATTTCAATCCAAATAAATTATTCTCGAGAAAAATTCAAGAATTAGTGGAGCCAATGGAAAATATTTCGAATTTTTGAAATTTTTTCTGTAAACTGTTTCCTTATCTGGCTAGAGAACCTTTTTCCCCCAGTGGAACTTTTTATGAAAAAGCTGGTACTGTACTTTAAGACCTCCTAATTCTAGAAAAAAAAAATTTGCAGTAGAACTTTTTTCCGAGTTAGGACGCTTCAAAAAGCTTGAAATAGCCCTTTTTTGTCATATTTTGCGTACTTTGCAAGCTTTGAAGCTTGATGATTCAAAAAAATATTTTTCCACAAGTCTTTGTTCTGGGATCAGGAACTTTCATAAACAATTTCTAATTCAACCGGTAGCTAAAAAGAAAAGCTTCCTCGCAAGCTTTTTTTCGTTAAAAAAACGAAAAACGGACCATGGACATCATAAAAGGGCGCGATTGAACTATTTATAGCTTTTTAATTGCTGGGTAATCGTTCCGGAAGCCGAAAAAAAGCCACTTAACTTCATAATTTTAAGTTTTTCTCGAAAAATTTCATATAGGTATTTCTTGGGAATATCTAATTTAAAATGTCATCATTCAGAAAAAAATGAATTTTTTTATAAAAAAATCCATTCATAATATATTTTTTTGTATTATTTTTTTGCTCGATTCGGTCTTTGAAAAATATCACGATTTATTTCAGAGACAAGTTCTAACGAAAAATTTCATATTAATATTATTATCCAATTTTTTTGAACGCCCTTGGGGATTAATTTTGAGATTTCCAAAGCCTGATTTGAGTGAATAGGACAAAAAGAATCAATTTCAAGAGGATTTTAATAAAAAACATTGAAAAACATTGGCGGACAGTACAAACAGTAATTTGATATTGAAATTCGAAGAGCCAAATGTTTATTTATAGGGAGAGGGGTTTTTGATTGAATTCATGGTCTTTTTTTGGACTTTTTAGGCTGTTTTGAAAATTCATAAAGACATTCAAAAACCGAATATGATATATTTATTTATTTCGTCGATTCCTCAACTTTCACATGTCAGTTCATTTTTAGCTTCAAAAATGAACTTAATTTTATTAATTTTTGCATGGTTTCGCCCCCCCCCTTTCTAGTGGTGAGTTCTATGAACAAAACAACAAAGTCTCAAAAAAAGTTTTTCCTCTTTTGTGGAGATTTCAACAAATTCTATAGATCAATTCGAAATTTCT